AAGGCAAGCGCCATTGGTCAGAAAGTTACAGACCGTGCCACTTTTCAAGACCAAGACTTTTCAAGTCTTTTAAGATCAAATGCAGTATCATCACTAAATCATGCGGCTGCGCCGTCGCCTGCCGCGGCTTCCCCCTTCTGCCTGCCTTCGCCGGTGTTCCCTCCTGCTCCCTCCGTGTTCCCTCCGTCTCTCCCTCGTCCCGTTCCCTCGACCCCTGTGTGGTTCCCTCCTGCTCCCTTCTCCCTCTCACCTGCGGCCCCTCCGGCCGCCGCCCGTCCCCCGCCTGGGCTCTCTCGGGCTCCCTTTTGTCCCCCGTCCGTTCCTGTCTGGTCTCCCCTGTCTGCTCCTCCTCCCTTCGTCCCACCTGTGTCGGCTCCTCGTCCTCCTGTTTCTCCTTCGTTCGCTCCTGGCCCCTTCGTTCCTCCCATTGGTGTTCCCCCTGTGTCTCCGGTGTTGCCCCTGTGCCTGTTTGCTTTCCCCGTGGTTTGTCGGTGGTTGTCTGAGTTGCTGTCCCTGTGTCTGTTCTGCATGTCTGTCTTGTTCCCTGTGCTCCATTGAGTTTTTTGCTTTTGTCTCTCCAGGTCCCGTGTCCCTCGTCTCGTCCGTCGCCTCCCCTGGGGCGCGCCCGGAGTGCGCACCTTTGGGGAGGGGTACTGTCACGCCCAGCTCGTCCGATCCTCGTTTGTGCCACGCCCCCCTCGTTACCTCACGTTACTTCTTGATTGTCTTCAGCTGTTGCCTGTTGTTTTCTGCCTACCCTGTGTATTTAGTCTGCGTCTGAGTCAGTATTCCCCAGTCCGGTCATTAACGTTGCGTTGCCGTGTATTTGGTCTGTCGCTGAATAAACCCTGCTTTCTTGGATATCCGTGTGACCGATCCTAATTATCCGCTCGCTCGCCCACACGGATCATGACATGACTACGTACAAAAAAATAGGTCATACCAAAATGATCAATATAGGGGTTTAAATTTAAACATAAATGTTAACTAAACCACTATAACAAAATATATGAAATACATATTCACCCTTAACTATACAAAATAAAATAAATATCAAATTTTTAGTCATTGCGTGCAATGAAATGCAATTATAAGCTATGGCTCTAACACCTCCACATGCTTAAGTAAGAGAAAATGCCATCATTTCGTGTAGCTTACATAGTTCTTTTAGATAATTCCACCAAAGTATGATATAGTAACAAAATTGAGAGAATTTTTAAGACATTGATATTTATATTAAATAATATAAATAGAATTATGAAATTGATTGTTTAGGCATTTTATAAATAAATTATATTATTACACAGCTATCCATAATGATCAAAAACTACTGACCAGTTTAGACAAGAAGAAATCATGTTTTTCATCTATATAGGACACTTGTTAAAGAACATATAGTAATGTTATGGCCTGTGATATCTTATGCTCCATATAAGTGAGTAACAAATTACTAAATTCAGAAAAAATAAAGCCATTTGAACAAAGCAGGCCAAAAATAATAGCTTTGGACACCAAATTTATTCTGTGTCAGAAAGAATAGGTACAGTATACTATACCTCCAACTGAAATTGAATAACATGATTATGTCATATATCATCATATATAGTTAATGAAATATGATCCATTTAATTGGGATTACATTTTTGGACGGAACATCCTCAAAGTGAAAAATACTTAAGGGAGATGTGACTTGAAGGAAATCGGGATTCTCTGCACGCAGAACTCCTCTATACCGGAAGCATTTCTGGAGGAAAAAGTGGGTCTACCAGGTACTATGTAGGTGTACGAAATAATGTGTCCACTCAGTGCTCTCAAGTTTCACCAAAAGTTTGGCGTGAGATTACATTAGGGGCGAAACGTGTGTCTCGCGGTCAATGCGTAAGTCTTAAGAGCCCTGAAACAGTCAGTGTAAATTTCACATTAAAGCAAAAGATTAATTGTGGTGACACTCAACAAACAGTTGCTTAATCGAGTGACAGTAGGAAGTAAATCGAGTTTTTCCGAAAATCTCCTAGATAAAACACGGAAGAGTGTGTCTCCTTTAAGCAAATTTCCCAGCTTGCACTGCGTCTCGCTCCGTGTTTTGGTCATACCGAGAGTGTGGATAATGGACCTTCCACAGGGGGAAATCAACATATCGATTGATTCAGCTGATGAGGAGTACCAAATATTTCTTAGTTTACACGAAGCCGCTCTTATGTCATGTAGAATACCTCCCCTGTACTGGAAAAGCTTGTATTATAAACTTTCCAATGAGGTACGGGTGTGCACAGCACATGTCGGTGGGACCACGGGTCGATTCATATTCAGCCGCTCATACGCTTAAGTTTCACGCCAGGGAGTTAGACCCTGACTTTAATTAAATACGTTTTCTGTGTTCTTATTATTCCGGGTTAACCCACTGATCATCCTGGGAACAGTTGTTTTAGTGATTGTTAAGCTACCATTGAGTTCACGTAATGTTTCCGCGCAGGGGAGTAGGAACCGAGGCTATAGGTCCCGAGTATTTTAACCCCGATCGATGTCTTCCTTCAAAAAGAAAGTCAAGCCCCAGGCAAACTTGACTTAGCCCCTGATCTTTTCAATAGCTACAAGCTTCCGTGGTATACTCCCCAGTATTTGGTTCCATTACCCCCTCCTCCTTTTATATTAAATTGTCTTACACCCTTGTATCAGTTAATGTCTTTGAGAAGTGGCCGCTTGCTAATGACACCTATAATGGCGGTTGTTATTTTTCCACTTATATGATGCTGTTTAATTCTCATACTTCATATTCTAATGTGAAATGAACTGTATTTCTCTGGCTTATCCAATATACAGGTGTTTGATGCAGGGGAAGTGTTTGGGGTTATGCATGTGGAGCTGGAAGAGGAAAGTGAAGTGGAAGAAGTAAGGAGATCAAACCCAGGAGCTGAAGTGACCTGCAAAGTAATTGTGATGCGCCAAAGTGGCCTGCAGGCTACTGACCCCAGCAGGTCAGTCAATCTAACACTATCTGGTGAACAAATAATATACCACCCCCATATGAATTATTACTATATAATAACAGAATAAAATATTAAAAATTAAATAACAAAAAAACTATATTTCAAAATTGATTTACTAAAGCTAGAGCATAATGTCATGAACATCTCCAGAAAATTTGGTCTTTGGTTTTTAAGGTGTTGCTGAGATATCTTGACTTAAATGTACCGTCATGCGGTTTCATATCACTGATGGGCCTTTTTAATGGCAGCTCAACTGACATGAAATAGTATAAAAAGCATAATAACATTATAGTAAAGTAATAACATTAAGGTTACAAATATGCTAGAATGAAATTTAATGGAAGCTTTATTAATGTCATTGCAGACACCTGTACTTGCCATACTATTAAAAAGGCCCACTTGGCTAGTAAATATGGCCAATAAATGCCCTGCATTCCTCAGAGGTGAGTGAGGTGTGCAAATCGTTCCAGTGTAAGTGCACACTGAGGGAATCACTCGACTTTGCAAGCATCAAAGGTTATGTTGTGGCTGCATATGATGATAATTGGTGGCTAGGATGTGTTGAAGAAACTATGCCCAGCACTGGAGAGTTGAGACTGAGCTTTTTGCATCCTCATGGAGCATCTCCATCCTATTCATTCCCATGCTATCCTGATAGACTTGTTATGGATCATCAGGATGTGCTTTTAGTAGTTGAATCTGTGACAGCAACAGAGCGGACATACACAATTTCAAGCAAAGACACAATAGCTGCATCAAAGGCTCTGATGGACTATAAATTGAGAGTACAGTCAGCCCTCATGCATTCGCAAATCGTGATTCGCGAAAATTACATGTATATGTTTCCTTCATGTATTTTATTGAATTGAACCTTGGTTACGTATATGACTTATGTCAATAAGTTTACAGTCCCGTTCGTTTACTCATTTTACCTTACTGTGAATGCAAAAGAAAACTTTAGCCAATGCCGTGTTCTATGAATTAGTAGGGAAAACATTAGTATACTGTACTGTAAATGTGCTAGTGTGACAAATATGCGATACTGCAAACATTTGATTTTTTTAAAGGTAATGTATTAAGCTAACTTTTAAATGAAATTAAAGTGTTCTGGGAGCATGACTGGGGTTATATTTAGGGTTTAAACTATAGAAATAAGTACTTATTACCATTTTTAGTGACTCTACCAAACATCCGCGAATCCTCCTCATTCGCGATGGGTTCTGGAACCTAACCTGGCAAATGTCCGAGGTCTGACTCTATAGCAATTGTTTATGTTCTTACATTCCCACCTTCCCTTTAAACATTACTGCTTGTATGTAACTTATGCATTAATGTTGAAATGCTTTCCTTGCCCTAGTAGCATAAAAGCCTAGTTTGTTTATTTTTGACAAATGAAGGCCCTTTTCAGAAGGCCAGTGTCTAGTCAAAAGTGTAAACTGAAGAGGAAATTCTGATTGTACCATTAGTTCTCTTTTTTCCAGTTACTTTGGCAATATTGTCTTTTTACTAATTTTTAATAGAATTTATTTTTTTTATTTAAATTATATTTCCACAGCTAGTTCTGGCAATAGTTGTAGTTGTCATGAAAAATAATAACTCTGTACCATCCACTGATCACTAACTGCTATTCTGCTACTGCTAACAGCACTGTAAGGAACTGTGGTTTTGATACACATTTCACATACCGGTAAGTAATGATATCTCAGCAACAACTCAAAAACCAAAGATCAAAGATGTTCAGGACATTATGAGCTAGCTTTAGTTAAAAAAATTATCAATTTTTAAATATAGTTTTTTTTTGTTATTGAATTTTTGATATTTTAATCAGTTATTTCATAGTAAGTATTCATATGGGGATGGCATATCATTTCAATCTGTTGAGCTGGACAATAGCTTTAACACAGTATGAGGATAATTTCTATGCAGCTTACATTAAGGTAAAAATAGCCAGTCAAAGTCATAGCCCCCCTCCCAAAAAAAAAAGTTAAAACATTGTTTGCTTAAATCTCCCCCAATATTGATCCAAGACACGCCCAATTTCAGTTTCATGAGTTACTCGTGACCAAATCACCATGCCAAGTTTCATTAAAATCTGTAACGATGAGGTCCGAAAGTGTGATGCATTGACATGGAATGACCCATGAGTGTCTGTAAGTGGATATAGCACAGCATTAAAAATGAAATATTTTTTTTAAATGTGATATTCGTTTTTAAGTAACACATGAACTGCACCTTCTTAATACCTTTCTAATGCATTTGTAAAGCATTTAGTGGGCTATATGTTCTATGAATGCATAATTAATACATTATGAAGGTGCAATTAATGTAAAGCATTACCTGTTTTTGTATGTTGTGCATGATTACAATATACGCTTCAAAGGAAAGAAAAAAGCTGATTCTGTGCCTGTTGTTTGAGTTCTGATTGCAAGTTGGTGTGGGAATGTTCTGCAATGATCTTTACCTGTGCACTTTCTAATGTTGGAGATACAAAACTCCTGGAGAGTATACAGGTCACAGCGAGTGATACACTCTTTTGACTGGATAATGTTATATTGCTTACCTTTAAAGTTATTTAAAATTATAATATTATATTGGGGGGTAGGTCCAGAGCTTTAGTCACAGCATTTCATGATGCTTCTGTTAAGGTGGTTGTATACTTCAAACGAAATTGTCATCGTCTTAGCAATTGAACGTCGTAGGAGTGGTGATCAATGTCTGTGTCTTAAATTTATTCTGATCCCACCCACTGTCCACGATAGGCTGATATAATGTGACCCCACTGGATTGGTCAGCAGGACTAATTACGTCGTTATCGACATGCTTTGCACCGCACCGCACGTATCTTTAAATAGTGTAAATGAATATGTGTGTTCTTGTATTTATGTTAATAGTAAATGTTTTAACAATAATGTTTACTGTGGAATGCGTTTGTTTTGTTAGTGTGTAACTGTGTAATGTAAATTGTTGGCTTCCCTGTCTGTGCCGCTGATAGCATTAAACCAGTAGTGGCTGTTAATAAAGAGAGCATCTTTTATTTTAAAATAGCTGTGATTTCCATGATTAGAAATTACTCACACACTTGCCACAATATGTTTATTTTCACTCTGTATATGGACCTCCTGCATCAACATTTTGCACCCCTCTAGGGTCGTATCGTAGCGTGATGTAATCTCGGCAACGTATTGGATTTATTTTTGTCCAGACATTGAATGACGCATTACGTTTAAGGGCAGAGCTTGAATACTTACACATCCAGGTTTCCTTACATTAGATGTGTTGTCTTTTCGTCCTAGTGTGTTCCTCGTGGACCATGCCTGGACATATCGAACAGAGAACGCAAGGCAGCAGTTGGAGACTACACCTGGCTTGTTGGCTCGTATGGCTGTTCTCATGGGTGTGGACTTTCATGGTGAGGTCCCTGATCCAGACGTCGTGGAGCAGGTGCTTACCCATATGTGGAAGTACAACCAGACCTACCAGCTGTCTCATGGGGTAAGCCCCACCCCCCCACACACACATTTGTGGTGCTTAATGGTCTTTAAATAATGTGACCCTAATCAACAAAGAAAGTACTAGGGCTGAACGATTTGGGGAAAATACCTAATCGTGATTTTTATGTCAGATATTGAGATTGGATTTGTAATATAATTTTTTAAAAGTCAAGCTATCAGTTCAGCATTCAGTGTGTAACAGATTTAAAACAAATGCCGCTGCATCACCACATGATATACCATCAAAATATTAACTGGTCTATATTCAAATGCAAGAATGAGAACTTGAACATGTGAATTGCTTCCAACATTTATGTATTTATGTATTTTAAACCCTTCTTCACGTACCTCGAGTCTTTAGTGATCCAGCATATGTATATTTAAGAATCAAACCACAAGTAACCATACCTTTTACTGAATACCTCATTCCTGAACACTAAGAACAGTTTCTAAACAAACTTATCAATTTACATCATCTTCATGTTGTATGATTCATATGATTAATGCTGCATGGACCCCTAATAATTATGGAGTGATTATTACGACAGAATTCCATGGTTGTGTCTCAGGAATGTAGCTCAGGTTTACCATGCACTCTATGGATCATTCCGCAAACCATGGGATTTGAACCAGTGACCTTCTGAGTCCCAACTCACAGAGATGCCCCCCCACCAAATAATTTTTTTGTTTAATAATGTTTTAGTCAGTGTACAACTCAATATATGTCACTTTAATTTTGATGTATTATAATTATTCTAAAATTTAGAGAATAGTACAAATAAATCTTTCTATGGGTAGTTGTATCCAAACGTTTGATGGATACTGTATTTCAGACAGTATATATTTGTCTTAAATCTTAAATTCAAGTGGAATTATCCTTCTACCCGCTGTGCTGACAGCTAATATTTCATGTCTATTTCATTTCCAATATGAGAAACTCACTCACAGCTGCATCCAGGAACATTGAATCTATCTAGTATACTAAATTTTTCCATTATTATCAGTATGTAATTTGGGTATATGGAAGACCCTCGTTTTTGTCCAGCTTGCCCCTCCCCCCAAATGAGCTTCTTCTCCCCACCGCAGTCAGCTGAAGACAAGGTGCCTGTGTGGTACATCATGGATGAGTTCGGGTCCCAGGTGCAGCACTCCAGTCAGCCCACTTGCTGCATGGCCCCCTTCTTTTTCGGACCCCAGCAAATGGCATATTCTATCCTGTGGCCCCTTCAGGATCTGGGCTTTGAAGGTACACTGGTCGTAATGTCACGGAGTTTTTTTTGCTAGTTAATACTGAGCGTTTGGCCATTTTATGCGTAGTGCAGTATGGCACTGGTTTAACTTACTTTATAACCCTTCAGATACTGCAGCAGTAGTTAGGGTGACAGTGGCTGCATATACAGGTCACCAAAACATGGCTGATTTTCCCGCAGGATAACAGACTTTAGTGGTACAATGATAATCTTAATCAGGAATAACCTAGATCGGTGGTAATCTATAGCAATGATAACCTGCGTCGTTAATGATCTACACTACAGGCCAGAAATTTGGGCCCACCCACCAGTTTTTAAAAAAATAAGCGAAACACTGCTTTTTCAAAATTTTATTACAAGAAAATATTAGAAATACTTCAAACAAATATTACTGACTGGTTTTGAAGTCTAATGTGACAATTTACTGTGCATTGTAAGTGCAATTCAAAGAATGCAAGTTCCTAAGTACAAGTTTAATCTAAATAACCACCCATTTCCTTTATCACAGCAGCATCCTTTACAGCAGTTTTTGGAAATAACTTGTGTCCAAACCCTCCCTGCACCTTTTCAAGCAGACAAACAATTCTGTCTCATTTGCTAGATGCTCCTTTTAAACATGTTGGTCCAAATCGTCCCATGGATGGACTTTCATCCGTTCGGAAGACCTGCTCCCAGTCCTGAATACTCCAGTGTTAGTGTTGCTAAGCCTGTAGTTTGCTCTTTTTCTTGTTAACATCATGAAGTAAAGGTTTTCAGGCAGCAACTCGACCATGCAGTCCAGCTGCTCTCAGTCTTTGCTTGACTATATTAAGAGATACCGGTTTCCCTCTGTTCACATTAATCGCAGCCCTCAGACCTCTGTAGTCATCTTCCGATTTATTTTGCACGCCACAAGTAAGTGTTGATTTCAGCCTTTGATGTTACTCTTCTTCCCCACACGGTTTCCGGTCACTGTTGCTACCTGTCAACCTTTTATTCTGCAAACTGTAGGTCACTCCATGCTTAGACTGTAGGTCACTCCATGCTTAGACTGTAGGTCACTCCATGCTTAGACTGTAGGTCACTCCATGCTTAGAAACATTTAACTTTCTGGCTATTTGATGATAAGAGAAGCCCTCCTCACTCAAAATTTTGATTTGAGGCCTCCATTCAATTGCTAGCTGTGCCTTTCTAGCCAAATACAAGCATAAAAATAATAAGTATTTGTACAAAAAATTCGTATCAGTTGTGATGCAGTACAACAGAATACTGAAATGAGGAGCAAACAGTACATTAAACCTTTCACAAACTGATCTGTTACTAGGCTGTCAAGTGGTTTTTGTTTAATTTATTTAGTCAAGAGAGGCTAAGAGCAAATCAATTTCTGACATTAGTGAATAGAATTCCAACATGACGTGAATGTCAATGCATAAAGACAGACCTGACATGTCTTATTCAAAGCCAATAGTTTCAGCCTTTGTGGGTAAATAATGTGTTACTTCTAGCTATAAAATACTGAAAACCAGTCGGTTACATTTGTTTTAAGTATTTCTAATATTTTCTTGTAATAAAAGTTTGACAATGTATTGACAGCATATTGCTTAATTTTTTTTTTTTTTAATTGAGGTTGGCCCAAACGTCTGGCCTGTAATGGAAATCAGTCATAATATATATAAACAATGATCTGCTTTCATATTAATATAACCAGCATTAACAAAGTCTGAGCTGAATCCTGTGTCATCACTTTTAATGGTGCTGAGGTACAGAAGCTACTATTACACTTCGAGTGTGCAACCCGCTGCTGTGGATTGCACACTTTGACCCGGCCTCTCTTATGTCATCCTTATGTCCCCACACCATAGAGGAAGTGACACGTGATTATGCTTATGGTGAGAGTGACCCCCTAATAAGAAAGTGTCGCCTGATACCCTGGGAACCCTCTGACCTGCGAAATGTGAGCAGTATGACTCCTGAACCTTCTGATATATATTATGAGGTATGTATGTATTTAGTTTGTATTGCTGATACCATTGTTGTTAGGTATGGGGTTACTGCAAAACTTTATGCAGTACTGTCATTTGAAAAGTGTTTGAAACAGCTGTACTGTATTTTGAAATAGTTAAAATTAAGTAAATAGTGACATCCCTTGTTTACCTTCATGTATAAAATATTTAAATCTCAATTAGATTGTAATAGATTGTAGTTGAGCCCACCGTCACAATCATTCTTGATAGAGCTGCACAATGTGCAATATTAATTTTGACATTGCGTTTTATACACCTGCAGTTTTCACATTGCAAGGACCACAACAATCAGCAGCAATTTTACTCTGTCATAGGTAACAAAATTTATCCTTGCAATTTTAACCATCGTTTCCTGATAATGGAGTATATGTTAAAAAATCATTTAAAATTTTACTGCCACTCCTTTTGCAGGAGCTTTTTGAGCCAATCATAATCATTTTTGTCCTTGCTGGACTCTCTCAAAGACTGTGTGGTGCATTTGTGAGAAAGTCAATGAAAATGAGTGAGGAAAAAAGCAAACAAGAACTGGTTATCAAAAGGCATTCACCTTATGCTGTTAGAAAATATTATATTCCTTAGAGATGGTATTTAGCAAAAGCAAGTGATTTGTTGGCACTGATTTGTGTTTGTTGACAACACAACACCATCAAGTTATTGACACACTGTGGGTAGATAAATTCTCTTTGGCTATGGTTTATTTAAGGTTTTATAAGGACTTTTATCTCCTTTTTTTGTTTTATAAATATCACAGTATTAAACATAAAAAATTCAAATATTGTGATTGTGATTTTTTCCAATATCGCGCAGCTGTCATTTAGACAGATGATGAATATGAATCTCAATGCTCAATGGCTGAAAAATCCATGCCTGTTAAACAGACTTTATTCCAAAATTTGTGGTAAATGAAATGTGAAATAAAATCTTGCTTCTTTCTACATCTCCAGATAGGAACAAGCAAATTCACATAATTGAATATAAGAAGTCTAGTGACTTTTTTTAAAGGAATTGCATTTTACTTTTTGAACTCTGACAGAGTGTGGTTCTAATATGAAATCTTTTTTTTCCAGGCTATCTCACGGGAGAACAAGGAAACCCTTCCCCTCCAAATCGAGCCTCCCAGTTTCCCAAAAGAAAAAGTATTTAAGTGAGTTTTTTGGGTCTTCCAGAATTTCTTTCTTTACAGAAACTGAAAAAAAAGCAACAGAGGGTGTGGTAGTTAAGGGGATACATGTGTTTGCTTGTGTAACTTTCCAGAGGCACCATTAGAATATGCTGTGGTATCAATGAGTAATATTGTAAATACTGATTCCGATACAAGACCTCTTTTTGTTTTAGTATTTTAATTTAATAAATATGTAATATATTTATACTTTATTATTAATATTTGTAAACTAGTAAATAAGATGAAAAAATGTATGCCGAAAATCTTTAATTAGGCTACTACGTTATGAAGTGTTCCACCTCATTTGCACATCTACTTTTAAGCATTTTTAAGACATTTTACAGCTGAATATCTTTCAGGAGAGTACACACAAATGGTGAATGCCGAAAATGCTACTGGCAACAGCGTCACTTACACTTTGTTGCAATAGCAGCCCCTCGTGTATCACAAGCTGTAGCGAGTATGGAAAATAGCCCATGCTAGCGACTCCCAAATCATCCATTGCTTTTTTCACATTTCTCGTGTTGTCTTGCACAACTGTGTGTGCTTTGTTTAGTGGGATTTTCCACCAAATGCTATTTCCACCTCTCAAAACTTTGCTTTTTACAAAGATTGCAAATCACTATGCTACTAGTTGCTGTTAAAAGCATAAAATACTCCCAGATTGACACCTTCAATATCTGATGTTCTTTTGCTCCTGAAACTGCGAAAGGTATGTGCATGACTTCACAGCAGGTGGAAGTCACTGTGCTCACACCCACTGAGTAGCAAAAAAACTGAGTATCAGTGTTAGCATTCAGCTTCAATAGTGCAAAAAAACACATCTAAAATGGGAAAGAGCTGTTGTGCAATTTATTGTACAAATAGATTTAACATGAAATAGGAGCTATCTTTTGAGAGACTGCCAAAAACCTAATAAGTATCGGATGTGGATCGGTCACGTATGGCAGATACCCGATCCGTTAAATAGGTCTGGATCAGCGCCAATAACAACCCAAACCGGTGCATCTCTGATTGTAAGTTGCTAAACAAAAATTACAAAAACAGAAAGTGAGGAGGAACTGAGCTGAAATAAAGAGTAAAATTTTATAGTTAGATATGACAGTGTAGAAAAGCATTATGAATGGAGCAGCTTGTTTCTCTGCACATCTTTCAGGGTTTACACTGAGATGAAGCAGGTCCAGGAGAACCTCAGACACCCTCGCTTCCAGCTCACCGACAGCAAGGAAGAAGCTGACATCCTCTGGCTCTTCTCCCACATCCGGGATTACAGGTGTGTCCTTGCTCAGCCTCCACGATGTTTGGTGCTTATCAGAGTCTTTTTCAGAATTCCTTATAAGGCACAATGATTCGCATGACTAATACAAATGCTTACTGCATGCTTCCAGGAAGCTGAGTGAGGATCGACCACATGTTCTTTTGAACCAGTTCCCCTGTGAGACCATTGTCACAGTGAAAGACTGCCTGGCTGCGATTGCACGGAGAGTAAGGGATGGCCAGGGAGCTGAATGGCTTCCTAAGACTTTCAACCTACAGACTGAGCTGCCCCAGTTCATCAGCCATTATCAACAGAACCAAGAGAGGTTAGTCAATCAGCCATTAGCAACAGAACCAAGAGATTAGTCCATCAGCCCTTATCAGAACCAAACGCTTAATCAGCCATTATCAAGAGACCCAAGTGAGAGTTCTCTATACAGTGATTTGATCTCAATATTTAGTTCACATCAAGGAACCCTTAAAGGTTTCCCTTAAGACGCTCTAATTCTCATCATTACAATACCCAGCATTATGGTTCCATTTGAATGCTTTAAATATAACTCTGGAAAAATTAAGAGACCACAGCAGAATTTTTTTTTTCACTCATTTCTCAGTTTATGGGTGTGTGTCTGTGATGAAAAATATATTTTTTGTAAACTCATAAATGAAGGGCTTCTACTTGGTGTATGGGACTGCAGTCCTGCTTCTAGGAACCTAATACAAACTGTCCTAGCAGTGTACTTTACACCTGAACTTAATGTTTCCCATTCCTTTTGAAGGTCACTTAATGTCATCATTTGAGTCATGAAAAACTGTCGGATAAGGTAACAGTCGTCTCTGGCATTAGAAAGTCCCTTCTGCCTTTTACCTGGCTGGTTTCTGGTCATTCCCAGTGTCTTCTGCTTCAGCATAGCCTTCTACTGACAGAACCATGGATTTAAACCAGGATTTAAAAATGCATAGGTTTTTTTAAAAAGTATAGAGTGGTCTCTTAATATTTTCCAGAGCTGCTCTTTGCAGTTATGACAGTGTTGTTTATAATAAGGGTTATGAATGTTCTGAGTCAGCTTTGCCTGTGGTGTTTGGTTCTCAGGGGGCTGGACAACCATTGGATCTGCAAGCCCTGGAACTTGGCACGGGGTCTCGACACCCACATCTCCAATGACTTAAGCTACATTATCAGACAGAGGGAGAGCACCCCAAAGGTAGAGACCTCATCCAGCTCAGCCAAAGCTAACTCCAGGAATTCACGAAATCAAGTGTCTTTCCACTGCATTGCCCCAGAGTGTTCCTCCGGCTACAGCACAATACAAACTCAGCAAATCATCTAGATACAGTGGTGCTGTCATGCAAAACCTCATCACCCTTACAAATTCCTTCCCGAAATGATGTACATGAAGTGGCTGCCTGTGGATGCAAATCCAGCAGAGCTGTCAGCTGTGATTGGTCTGTAAGCTCAGCCTTGGGATTTGTAGTCTTCCCCAGTTTTGTAGATCTCAAATGTGTGGACAGAGGTTAATCAGTGGTAACAGAGCTGTCTTCAGTGGTGGTGGCAGCCTGCTCACCCTGTCTCCTTTTGAATAGGCCATGAATGAGCTGCGCCTGTTGCTAAAGATACCAGCATGTATTTATTTTTGTGCCAGGTGGTATGCAAGTACCTGGAGGATCCTGTGTTGATCAACAGGGAGGATGTGGGCTTGGTGAAGTTTGACATCCGCTACATGGTTCTCCTGCGCTCTGTCCAGCCTCTGCGTCTCTATGCTTACAACGTCTTCTGGCTGCGCTTTTCCAACAGGTATCCATGCCCAGTGCCTCCCCTCAGGCTTCCACAGTCAGCAGAATATTAATACATTCATTGTGTTCATGTCACATTATAAAGGTACAACCCCAATTCCAAAAAAGTTGGGACGTTGTGCAAATCGTTTTATATGTTCTGTTGTGAATAAAATATGAGTTTATGAGATTTCTTTATCATTGCATTCTGTTGATATTTACCATTTGCACAACGTCCCAACTTTTTTGAAATTGGGATGTATTTGATATATAGACACATCTGGTCCATGATCAAACTTTTAATTACAGTGGGTTCATTAACCTTTATCCCCCTCTAAGTTGCATTTAAAACTTGTTCCACAGGCCCTTCTCTTTGGACAACTTTGACGACTACCAGAAACATTTCACAGTCATGAACTATGCAGAAGGAGCTCAGCTGAAACAGGTGTGTGATGTCCAGACTCCAGTATCCTAGGGACTGTCCAGATCGAAAGACAGTTCCCTCAAGACAGGTGACAATGAGACATGTTGCATGTTTTTACTGCCTGTAAACAGTGACCTGTAAACTTTGCCCCATCCCATCACGACTTAATCTATCTTTTGATTGTGGGTGGAGATGAAGGAATACTTTGGCTAGGGTTAGGCGGTACGATGGTATTACGGTATAGGAAAAGGTGGTTGAACAGCAACTTTGTGCCTTCTTAGAGGAGCACCAGTTCTTTGATTCCTTTCAATCTGGTTTTCGGAGGCGACATTTTACAGAAGCAGCCCTTAGGAAAGTTTAAATGCTTTAATTGCTGCTGATGCAGGCCAGTGCTCTGTGCTTGTATTGTTAGATCTTACCGCAGCTTTTGATACAGTTAACCATCAGATCCTAATTAATGGATTAGAGCTGTTAGGTGTCTCTGGCTCTGCTTTGGACTGGTTCTCCTCTTGTTTGTTGAATAGGAGTTTCTCAGTCGGTGTGGCTGGCTTCTCATCCAACTGTCACAGGGTTCAGTTCTTAGACCTGTACTTTTTTCATTATATATTCTTCCCTTATCGCAGAGTCTTAATTATTTTAAAGGTATTTCGTATCATCTCTATGCAGATGATATTCAGATTTATTTTTCATTTAAACCTAGTCAAATTAATACTTTGGTCACTTTGGTTGATTGTCTGTCTTGGGTTAATGATTGGCTGAATAGTAATTACTTGCAGTTGAATTCAGGAAAGACTGAGGTACTTATTGTTGCTCCTCCCGATTTCCATTTTGAGAAAAGGGGAGCAATGACAGAAAAAGTTTGAGAACCACTAATATAAACTAAGAATTGTATTATAAAACATACATAACAGCCTTAAGAATTGTATATTTCCACAGGTTCACTATGATGAATTCATCCCTATGTTTGAAACTCAGTACCCTGAACATCCGTGGAACAAGGTTCAGGTAAAAAAATAAACACAGCTCTTAGAATGGTAATATATGGCAATTTACAAAACTCAGAAGGCAGAGTGAAGCCCTTGAAATGACTTTTTAAATTAATTTAAATGTTTTTGTTTGTAATTGATGTGATACATATTATAAGAGACCATCAATATGCATCTGTGAGTGCATTGACATCATGGAACCATCCATCCATCTTGAAAATGCTTATCCTGGTCAGGGTTTGGGGGGGTTGGGGGTTTGGGGGGGGGTCTGAGGCCTATTCCAGGCAGCACAGGGCACAAGGCAAGGATACCAGTCCATGAATGGGATGGCAGTTGATTGATGGGCATACATGAGAAACCCTGAATACCTGAAGGAAATTAATCTGACACAGGGGGGCCATACAAACTACAAGAACTGTTCCTTTGTCTTCAGTGGTGTAAGGACCGCAGCCTGGTGAACAAACTGAAGTGCAAGTCAAGTCAAAAGAAGCCTATAAAGGCCTTATGTCATTATCCAATAATGTAACTGCCCTTGGCCAGTTTTCATTGGTTATGTTTTCATCTGACAGTATGGACAATCAAAATGCCTGTGTATGTGTATGTCTGACCTTCTGGCAGAAGGAGGTGTTCAAGGCATTTGGGGAGCTTTTCCAGGCAGCCTCCACTCACCCTGCTCCATACGGGATCTGCGCTTACCCCTCGTCCAGGGCTATCTATGCCATTGATCTCATGCTCAAATGGGCCCCAGGTGGCCAAGGTAAGACCCTTGAACCACAGGGGGTTTAACAGAGACTTAAATTCTCAAACTCTTTGGGAGACGTGTAATATATCTCCTTCATACGCAAGTCATATGTAAAGGTTGTACTTTGACTGTCTGTGTACCATAAAACTGTTAAAAACCCTAAGGAATGTTAATTGCATGACCCTTTTCTGAGTATATTTATAGACTGCAAACATAGAGGCATTCACATTTCATATACACTGATGAGCTGAAACATGTTTTCATGTTGTGCCTTTAAAACCAAACAAATTCAGCTTACCTGTCATAAATTATGTGGCAGAAAAAGCTATGAATTTTCTTGTATTCATGTTAAGTTACTTTAGTAGCCACAACCATAAACAGAATGTAGATCATGAGATGCAGTAGCATTAGAATGCGGATAAATACCTAGCTGTCAAAGCCTACTCTACGGACAATGCGATCTCGCCACTGTTAAGGTTGTTCTCAGTGAGATCGGCTCTCGAGATATTGTGTAACCATTGCTGGCAGCAAGCGCTAGATAAGACTTCATCTGTCCTCTCTGGATCACTTTTTATTTTACAGTTTTGGGAATCTCAAATAATCATTTACCTTTGTTGTGAGTGCTGTAGCAGTGACTATGGCAAATACATCAAAAGAGCACAGAGAGTACACATGAAGACACTAAGCACCAATATGGTGGATCATGGCCTTTGCTTGATATGGATGGTATAGTGTGACATCACCTGCAGCCCTCCTGTAAAACTTGCAGTTGTTGCCAATGAAATAATGAGGTCATGTTGTCCAGCAGGTGAGAGAATCATGAGGCCACAGATCCTAGAGGTCAACTTCAGTCCGGACTGTGCCCGTGCCTGCCAGTATCATCCCCACTTCTACAATCACATGTTCCAGACACTCTTCTTAGACCAAGCTGAAGATTGTCCTGTCACTGTCATAGTGTGACACGCAAATGGATCGGCAAGAGAATTGTGATGTAAAGATGTTTCCTGGCTAATAAAAAAAAAAAAATGTGGTTTTGCTTTCATTATGATGGGAGTATGTCCGTCAGTCTGCCTTTTCCTCTGTCATTTTCCTCTCGCCCTGATACTGCAAAAAATCTGTATGTGGTTTAGGACTAAACCAGCTGATACTAATTTGCACTGATAGGGGGCAGGATTTCTTTCTAAATACTGACAGATTTCAGCTGGTTTCTTGGCTTTCCATGCCTTTTTGCACCTTGTATCATTATCTGATCAGCATCTAATGCAGAACTTCAGGGTACAATCAGCTACCATCTATCAAGGTCAGTTTTTGTGTTATTGGCATCAATTATCGGCAAGATTTGGTCATTTATACACATAATAAGTTTTGTGTGAATGACTGATGAGCCCATTTTACACACTCACTAAGGCCAGCGAGTGTCAGGTTGAAATTTTACAAAACATTAAAAACAGGTCTCCCAGACCTGAAGACAAGACCTGGGCTAATCGATAATATTAGAATGCATAGGTTTTCCTGTTAAAAATGGTTTTGTTGTCTTTTACACGATGTGGGGTATTTGCAAAGGGTTTGATATGCAAAGGAGATTTTATTGTTGAATATAGATATGATAAATGATGTGGAATCCCAGAGAAGAAGAAAACTTTACCACCCATCATGTGCTGCATTTATGTTTGCGTTCAAGTGGAGAGGGAAAATGTATTGGTAAGACTTAAATAATGCTCCTTATACTATATTATACTAAACTAGTTGAAACTCTGATCTTGTGGTGATATATTGTTATATTTGTATTTCCCCTTTTCTCATGTTACCATCTTTTTAAGTATTGATGCCTCTAAAGAAGATGGATCATTTGGGTGGCTAGTTAATGATGACCACAGGCATCCAAACTGTAGGATGAAAAAAATGTATGTGAATGGAAACCCACATTACATTGAAGAAGGAGAAGAGATTTCCTTTGTGTATGGAGGTGACGACTGCCCATGGAGATCACAACCCCATACTCCCGGAGCACCCCCCACAGGACTCCCCGAGGCACACGGTCGAATGCCTTCTCCAAGTCCACAAAGCACATGTAGACTGGTTGGGCGAACTCCCTTTCACCCTCCAGGACCCGGAGAGTATAGAGCTGGTCCACCGTTCCATGACCAGAGCGAAACCCACACTGCTCCTCCTGAATCCGAGGTTCGACAATCCGGCGGACCCTCCTCTCCAGGGCCCCCGAATAGACCTTACCAGGGAGGCTGAGGAGTGTGATCCCCCTATATAGTTGGAATGCACCCTCCAGTCCCCCTTCTGCCAATCCAGAGGCACTGCTCCTGATGTCCACACGATGCTGCAGATGTGTGTCAACCAGGACAGCCCTGCAACATCCAGAGCCTTGAGGAACTCTGGGCGGATCTCATCCACCCCCGGGGTCCGGCCACCAAGGAGCTTTTTAACCACCTCAGCAACCTCCACCCTTGCGGAGTCCATCCCCAAGTCCCCAGACTCATTGGAAGGCGTGATGGTGGGATTGAGGAGGTCTTCGAAGTATTCCTTCCACCGACCCACAACGTCCCGTGCTGAGGTCAGCAGTGCCCCATCCCCACCATAAACAGTGTTGACGCTGTACCGCTTTCCCGCTGTGAGCCGTCGGATGGTGGACCAGAATCTCCTCGAAGCCGTCTGGAAGTCGTTCTCCTCCCACACCCGAGTTTTTGCCTCAGTGACCACCAAAGCCACATTCTGCTTGGCCCGCCGGTACTCATCAGCTCCCTCTGGCGTCCCACAGGCCAAAAAGGTCCACCAGCGGGTTGGGGGACTGCCACCGCGGCAGGCACCGGCCACCTACAATTTGCATGTGAAAAATAAAGTGATGGTGATAGTCCTATGGCAAATATTTTCAGCCTAGATTACAGCAAATGAAGTAAATGCAGGTTCTAATTATTTATAAAAATATGTTATATGTGGCTGAAAAAACAGCTAATAATATAAATTTCATAACTTCATCCTCCAGTCCCTCCATTTAAAGCATCAGATGAATGAGCAACAGTACAAAAAGTCACCGGAAATACTTTAACGATTTCAAATGTTGTTTATATGGTTGCTTGTATTTACAGATTGCCAAAGAAAATTAGGTTTTGCATTAAGAATGAGACGTAAGTTCTCAATTAAGTGGCAAAAAAAAAATGTTTTTTCTTAATTGAAAAAACATTCTTAATTGATAAATCATTTGGTCTATGAAATACCAGAGAGAAGTGAAAAATGTGCATCACTTTTTTTTTGAACCCAAGATGTCATCAGATGTCTTTAGTACATCAGCTGTCCAAAATCGGTTTGTGAAAAGTGTATTTTTAAAGTTGATTTAAACAAAAAATAGAAGAATGACATTCTAGATGGTCTCAGATTATTTATGCTGAGCTTGTGCCCGATAGATGTTTTTTAGATACGTGAAAGTCATGTCAGACTACCTGAGGAGCCCTCACTGTCTATGTCATCTGCTGTTTAGCCATCCAAGTCCCAAAAAGGCCCAACTCTGCTTAGCTTCCAACATCAAACGAGAATGTACACAGGCAGCACAGTATGGTCATAATCCACAAAGCCCTTGGAATTTATACTTACTAAGTTCAATCAAAAGGTTTGTGCCATTTTGGGAAACAATGGCAGAAAAAGCTTATAGCACCTGGTATTCCCAAGCAGTCTAACATTCAAGCACTAAACAGGTCAGATGAAGGCAGAGCAGTATGGCTGTAAGCAAAGGAACCCTCGCAATTTATACTGCTTTTCCAGTTTGTGCTGTTTCCAACATCAGTGACATCCATGTAAAGCGCCTTGGGAAGACTCTGTTGTGAAAGGCACTATATAAAAATAAATTGAATTGAAAAATGTTTACAGCACCTGGTATTCCCAGGCAGTCTCCCATCAAGGACTCTGCTTAACGTCTGAGATCAGACGAGAGCAGGTGCAAGCAGAGGCGCCGTGTCACAGAGGAAGTGGCGGCCAGACACAGCATCTGTGATGAAGAGCAGGCTGCCAGCACGGGCGACGCTCGCTGCTGCTAATGAGCGCCGGTCAGTGCATTTCCCATCCCCGTACAATGGCAACTTCCTAGCCTTATCACCGAACCATGCGTGGTGAAAGCAGAGGCCTGGCTTTCTTTGCCGCTATGCAGCCAAGACGATAGCATCAGCCCGTGGTGGGGAGCTAGTCCCGAGTCCTGAGTATGCACTGCAGAACAAGCCGCCGGCGTGGCGGTGTGCACTTTGTCGGCCTCGATAGCGAGCTCCCTGCAGTCCCTAATTAGTTAGCAACCCCCGCACCTCTGTGGGCAGCTGTTGCATGAAAAGCTCCCTAAAAATTAAACAGGGCTGATGGTCACCGAGAAGAGCTACCATATGATCTGTCAGCTCTGAGGGCCATGAGTCGCCTAACTTGGGCAGCACGAGCGAGTGAGGCGTGCATTACGTCTCTGAAAGTTCACAAATGCACAGCAGCAGAGACTTTAAAGTGCCCCGGGAGGGTTCTGCAGCAGACTCACCACTCTAGCCACAGTGGGGCTGCTCAGCGCCGCAACATGATATTTCGTCATGTCCTCTGTGATACCATGCAAGGCGAACTGAGCCTCCACCTGCTCGAACCAAACATCTGCAGACCTGCGCTAAAAAACCTCCTCGATCAGGCACATGCAGCCAACCCTTCGCTCGTGCACATAAGCATAGGTAAGGGACAGTGTGAATTCTGTCTATTCAGTAGTAGCCTCTGCAATATAAACAAAGAAACTTAAAATATTAATAAAGATTGTATTTAGCATAACACAAATCAGACTGTGCTGTGATACTAGTAGTATTATTCATTCAATGCAGATGCAGTAACTTCATTCTCAGGTGTACATTTCAAATAGCTGTGCCATTCAGTTGCTTGGTTCTGGCTATGTAAGTTGCTGCCATTGTTAGGCTTTTGGGAATTATATCCTAGGTTGTTGAAAACATTGCTGAAACCCAATAGGTGTCTCCCTGTGTTTGAAAAAAAGGTTTGAAGCCTCAAAACACATTCCGGGCAATATGGGGAATGCCTCAAAAGCTTCACGAAGCTTTATTTTCCCACCAGTACCACAAACACCAAAACCAGGAACTGGATAACCAAAAACCCAGAACAAGATGCCGGTCTACAAGAAACATGACTCCCCAGCCACCCAAACCATCAAGCCAGTACCTGCTGTCAATTGACAAACACAAAGGAAACAGATTTACACCACCTAGCCCCATAAAACAAACCTCTGACTGCAAAGCAGCTGAGCTCTATGAGCTCCATGATGATGACTGAAGTAATTCTCAACATAAATTATGTTAGGCTCTAATTTCCACCAGCCCAGAAGAGGTTCAATTACTATATAAATCAATCAGGGATGGGTCTGATGGCATTTGCCATTTTACATATTGTCGTTGGTCACGCAGGTCTGCTCAGTTTCACATAAAATTACAGTGGAATTATGGACTTACATGTTGACTTGGATATTAATTTTTTGCCACGCTGTCTCTTGTTCTTTTACTGTAGCTGCTGCGTTCCCCTTTTTCTTCAAGATAAAATCGTAATCTGCAGCTACAAAAACTTTGCCTTCGTACTCAGAGGTATGCACATCTACACATATTAGTATCTGTTGCCATAGTGCAGCCTTCTTCCTGTAATCCGCTGACCTTTTATTGTTCCGCGAGATGGCACTTCAGTTACAATTAACATATTCATATTGGAAAAAGACTGAACAGCAACATATTTGGAAAATACTAAAAAGATAGGCGCTGTTGTTAATAAGTTGTTAATAACCAACCAACAGAAAACACTAAATACTGAAGACTTTTACTATACATGAATAGTAATTTAAAATGAGATATATGACTACTGTAACTACCTTCAAAGCACACAGGCACACATGTGCAGTAAAGGTCTCGGGAAGAGGTGAGATGCACAGAGTGCCAAACAGGGGAGGATGATGTACCTGATAACCTGACCACAACGGCTGTGCCTGTTCACGTCACTGTTTCCCTGTTATTATCTGAAATCAGATCAAAGTAGTTTAATAGCGAGCAGCAACCACACACTGGTAGCTAGCAGCCTGCTCACTATTTTAAACGTAGCATAACTGAAATCTGCAGGTGGATACCAGAAAACATTTTCTTTCATTTTTTTTTCTTTCTTTTTTTTTTAACTTTCCACACCTCCAGTGTTAATACAGCAACGCACATCAAGCTAACGTCCATGAAACCTATGAGCTGAAGCAAATGCTAAAACTATAGGGTCATTTTAAAATAGTTTGAAAGTACATTTTAACATCCAGGTTTGTCTGCATTGCATAGGTTCTCTAAAATCTCATCCTCCTTGTTCTTTTAATGCAGGCATTTCCATCCTTCCTACACCAGCCACAATCCAAACAAAACGGACCAGAACCAGGAGCTCCCTACCACGAATGCATGACGGTATTGCATGAACAGGATGATTATACAGGGATTTTGTAAATTTACCAAACATTTTTGTGGACCCCCTTCAGTTGCTCTGTGCTCTCCTACTGAGCTGAACAATCTTATCATCAGAAACAGTCAGGACACCACAGAAAACAATCATGTTCATTCTTTTATAAATTCCAGATATGCTCTGTTCACATGTTCTTTTAAACTCACCTAAAAGAGATCACTAGAATTTTTCCCTTCTTTTTTCATATTTAATGATTACCTCCTTGAACTTAATGGCACATGCGTAATGATTTATCACAATGATTTATCCATTAATTTCTTTCAGGGCTGTAGCAAGGAGTTCTGGGCCCCCTAACAGAATGTCCCATCTGGCCCTGATCCATTTTCTATGCCAACTTGCCCTATGCAGTTCAGAGCTGTGAGCTATGGGTACATAACCATAAGTGCCAAACCATCACAGGGCACATACACAACATTCATGCCTATGGGCAGTTTGGTAACTCAATTCAGTTTGGTAACTCAATTCATCTTAGCATGTTTTTGGACTGCAGAGGGACGCTGGAGTTCCTGGAGGTCTCAGACATGCTAACCATGGTGCCACTGTGCCAACCCTACAATGATTTTATATTTTCACTAGTTTCTCACTCATTTATATAAGGATATTAAAGTATATGTAGCAACCGCTTCAGATTTGCAAAATTGACATTTGTGGGTTCAGTTATTTGCGAGCTGGCCATGAACGTTGAGATGGAAATAATTTGGAGCTTGCTAAAATATAAGCCAAAACGTAAGCCAAAAATGTATATACCAATACTGAAAGTGATTTGGATCACAGAAAATCATATAATATAATTTTTTTGTATTATTTAATATTTGTTAGTGGAAGTGCATATAATATATTTAATATTAAAACTTTTGCCTTGGGTGCACCACGAATCGTTGTCTTGGCAACCAGCTCATCCACGTATTTGCTGTCTTTGGGACCGTAGAATCTTGTTCTTGTAGTAACTTTTAAACTTTGCATTTTTAATAATGGGCCCACATATTATTTCTTCCACCACTAACCCTGGTGAATGTGAAGGGGTGCCTATATACTTTTATATAAAGGAAAAGCATTTTGACAACAACAGTACCTCTAAGAATGTTTACTAACTCAGTGTTTGGAACAATAATGCTGTATCTTAGATTCATGTAATGAAACATTTATGTAAATATTTCTGAATTCTTTTTCAACAAAAACTGGAGTTCTTTCATTGTTTGGCAGTTCTACTAAGATGAGGAGTTCCTGTATGTTAAATATGGAGAAAGTCTACATAGAGTCCTCTGATTTGTCACTTTACCCATGTGATGTTTTCCTGTTGTTGCTCTGATAAGGCACTGTTGAACTTCATTGGCTGGTGGAATTTGTTTTCTCTGGGGGCTAGGATGGTACAAAGGCACTTGCTCGAACTGAGAGATCAGAAGTGAAGGTTGGAGTCTCAGCTATAGAGGAGGACGTTTGTGCTGATGAAGATGGAGATCTGCCTGTTCATCCTCCCTCTCGCATTCTTGGTCACCACAGCCAGTAAGTACAATGTCCTACCTTCACTCCAGTGGTCTTTTGTCACCTTTTGTCAATGGGTCAAGACATCAATTTAAGCAATCAAGGCATGGTGAACATTTTGAATATGTATAGTAATCTTTCAACCTGGCCAAAAAAAATATTGCATGCTTTATTATTTTGTGGAGTTTATCTTTGATTACAGCACACATTCATCATGGCATTGTTTCAGTGAGCTTATGCAACATCTCAATGTTTATTTTCATCCACATTTGTATATTGTTTTTGTTGAGATCTTGCATTGATGACAGGAGATTTGAAGCACTCTGTCAAGTCTTCTCCACTGCATCTCAAAGCCTTTCAATGTGGTTAAGGTCAGGACTCTGTGGTGGCCAATTGATATGTATAAATGATTCCTCATGCTTTCTGAACCAGTTTTTCATAATTCAAGCCTAATGAATATTGGGCTTGTCACCCTGTAATATGCCAATACTGTCAGGGGAGAAAAGATCCATTGATGGGATAACCTGATCGTTAAGTAGTTTCAGGTACTGAGTTAATTTTATTGCTGCATAACCTTGCTGAGCCTAGACCCAGTCAATTGAAGGAAATAAGCAAATGTGGATTTAAATTCCAATGGTAACTTTTTTCTTGCCAAGCCAGTGTATATCTTATTACCACACATTATGATCTATGAAATTATCAGAATATTCAGAATGTGCTTTAATATAAAATAATGAGATTTTTGGCCATTATTCAATTGATAAGTGCAATAAAAATATTGTGGCTTCATAACTAAAAGTAATCACTATAATACTCTTACAGCACATGTAAGATATCCTATAATACTAAAAAAATCATTCATATTAAATACATTTTTGTTTATATAAATGTATATTTTGTTATATTTGCCATTGAGATTAAGCAGTTACGGTGATGGATGAATGGATGGATGGATGGATGTTATATTTGTCACAGTTCACCTTTATATGGCAAACATTTTGTGATGCATAAAGGAAAATTGAAATTAAACTCATTGCAAGTGATCATTAATAAGATCTATTATTTCAGATTAGTTGTAGCCATGCAGAAGGACAGTGTCACATCTGGAAAAAAATCTATATAGTTATGATATCAGAATCATATTTTATTTAGTATAATAGAGTAGCATCCCATCCAGGGTGTACCCTTCTGTTTTGTGGTGTGTGGGATAGGCCTCTGATGAATATTAGGAAAGATGGATTTCGTCTGTATTCAGTAATTTAAAAAAAAAACAGGCACACTACAAATTATAATTTGACTGCATTAAAAGAACAAGGAGGATGAGTTTTTAGAGAACCTATGCAATGCAGACAATATAAATATGGAATTAACAATGAACAGTAGTTACAAATAAATAAACATTTAAAGTGGCTTTAAACAGTTTTGTTATATAGTCTTTAACTGAGGTAAGTGCAAAGAAAAAGGAAAACAATTAGTAAGCCTACCATTTTAAAACACTGACTTTTATGTCAAACAATGACATTAATTTTAAGCAAAAAAAATTTAAAACAACTAGCCTATCAGATTATTGGGACATTAAGGAAACATAACCTATCCAACTGCAATAAACATTCTGTACACTGATAAAAAGGTTCAGCAATACAGAGACAGTATAAGTCCGATTGGAATATGACTGCCTTGAAACTTGAAATAGGGACTTGAGATAGGGACCTGGTTCATGCAGAGGATTTCAGTCACTGCACTGTCCAGTTTCTTTGCTTCATTTGATTTTCTCTCACATTTTCTATTCTTCTGAAAAGTTTCTGTTATGGTTGACTGTATCTTTGTCCTTTATCATGCCCAATTACCTCATCTGCCTGCAGCCATGGAAAGACAATAATGGCAGTGATACTGCAAACACACACCTCTTTATATATTCTGAACATAATTGATTGACTAGTCAAAATTCACTGGCATGAAGATAGACAGATATCGACTGTGAATTTCAGCTCATTTTGGCTACGGTTTTATAGACAGCAAGGATGCTACAAAATGATACAACACAAATAATTTAGGACTTACAGTTAACTATAAACAGTGTGAGAGAAACTGAACAGTACTGCAAAAACATTTTTGCTACTCTTGCATGTTTAGCAGAAGCAGAGGTTTGTATGTTAGTTTTAACGTGGTATATCTTAAACATTATTCATATTATGTTGGTTTTTGTGTTTATTACGTGCATTAAAGAAATTGAGCCAATTGGAATTATATTGTATATATTCTTGTACACGTATTATGTAATGTTGATTTACGCATGCAATGTAGTGCTTGGAAGCAGTTTTTGTTGGATTGGAAAAAAAGAGGAGAACACCAACACTTCAGAGTTTACTAATTAAACACTGTGTGTGTGTGTGTGTGTGTGTGTATTTTGCTTGGTTACTTATGGTTACGGTTAGGGCTGGGTAGGGGTTAAGGTTTTCATAGTTAGCGTTAGCATTTTTCCCATAGAAATGAATGAGCGGTCCCCATAAAGATATGTTCACCCGACATGTGTGTGTATGTGTTACATATAGTGATTGTTGCAGCCAAAACACCTGGTTATGCAATGGCTTATCTTAATATCAAAAAGTGGACATATGCAGTTTTCATTGAACAGTGACAACATATAGCCTAATTACTTTCTTTTCATTTTTAAAATGTGTTTTCCATTGATACCTGTATAATACAGATCTGGAGACAGGATGTTATGTATGAGAACAACACTGAACTGAACCTACTAACAGTGACTGGTCTGTGCTTCCAGGCAGTGACGATGTCAGGCTGGTGGATGGTGGCAGCCGCTGTGCTGGGAGAGTGGAGGTTCTTCAGGAAGGACAGTGGGGCACCGTATGTGGGAGTAGATGGGATATAGATGATGCTGCAGTGGTGTGTAGACAGATGCTCTGTGGAGTTGCTGTAGCAGCACCACAATACGGTCACTTTGGAGAAGGAACAGGGAGGATCTTGATGGGTGGTGTGGCCTGTGGAGGGTCAGAATCGACACTGAAGAACTGTGCACAAGATGAGCAGATTATCATTCACTGTAGCCATGTTCTTGATGCTGGAGTTATCTGTGCAGGTAGGAACCATACGTGGCTCTCTAAATACTCTCCACAAAGCAATATACAGACACTCCTCTACTTACAAACTTTCAACTTACGAACTTTCAGACATACAAACGAAGAGGACTGTAAGTCCAAATTGTGTTCATTGAGCTCCCGTTTCCTCTCTGCAACATCAATTTTTTTTTCTGTGCGCCAATTCCAGGTAGTACAACTTCTGCCTGCTACTCCCGCCGCACAGCAGCGTAGCGTGCGTACTCCCAACATCACAGTTCTTTGTACTTGCGTATAATCTTAAAATTATGTTAAATAATGACTTACGAACATTTCAAGTTACGAACGGCTGTTCAGATCGTATCTCATTTGTAAGTAGAGGAGCATCTGTACTCCGTTTGCGCAACTGTTCAGACATTGTTTTGAAACATAAAACCTTTTTGTTTTGAAAACATACCTTTGACTGTCGGTAAGCAAACATTTTCATTAAATTGCTAAGAAATTCAAGTGATGTAATTACAGGGTTTAAATGGTGTACTGTATATACATATACATTGCCAGAAAAAAGTAGTGTCATTCCACACCAACTCACCTAGATTCTTGCAGGTCATGTCATGGATTGTTCTAAAAAAAATCTATACATTTTTTTTATTTGTATATATCTTAAAATCTGGCAAAGAAATGCTAAAAAATGCCGGACATATGACAGACAAGCTGAAATTCAATGAACATCATCTGAAGCATCTTATTTATACCTACCATAAATTTCAAATTATGAGCCATTTGTGACTCATTGTAACAACTTTAAACATTTTTCACAGAAAAACAACTGGGGCTACAGCTTTAAGATATTGCACTAAAATAGTAAAAATATTTTTATAGATTTTTTTTTTTCATGAAAACCCATAACATGACCGGCAAGGTTCTATGTGAGCTGGTGTGGAATGACCTGGTACCAATTTGTACCTTTTAGGGTACAATTACTTGTCCCTTCTACTGTACCATCAAGGATCTGCCAGCTGTATCCTAGTTGTTGGTAAATGTACCTTTTAGTCTAAATTAAGGTACAGAAATGGACTGTGAGGAACATTTTTGTGCCATTGGTATAAACAACATTAATGTTGTTTATACCTTGGGAAGGAAAACTGTACCAGGGTCATATTTTTTCTGACTGTTTACGTAGTGAGTGATAAAAATAAAAAGATCCTTTTCTTCTGCTAACCTCTCATAAATTGTTAAACTGATTATCGGAGACCCGATTCAGAGGTTTTCATTGCTATATTTACCATATTTAAACCTAATTTATTTTTCTATAGAAACAGTACTCTGAAAAAGTCTGAGGCAGTCCAAGAAAATGTTCGAAGCAGTTTATCTAAGTAAGTGTATATTTGCTCAGAAAATGAACAGAATTTAATAACAACACATATTAGGTATGTAACAATACACTCAACTCACGATTCGATACGAATCGCGATTCTGAGTTCATGATGTGATTTTCTCACGATTTTTCATCAGAATGAGCTGCAGACAAATTTATTTAATAATATTCCTTTATCTTTCTAAACTGTGCAAAACATGTACTCTTAACAGTGCAACTGAAATTGAATAAAATACTGTAAAAAAAAACCCCAAATCAAAATAAATAAATAAAAACAAATCTTCACATAAGTAAACTAAGGCTTGCATGTGCAGCTTTTTAGCGTGGTTTGCCCTTTTAATAATCTTCGCTCTGGCTGTGGTGAATTGAGCTCACTGTGGTGTCGGTGGACATGCTGAAGCATTTCGTTGTGCTGTTTGTGTATGTTATCAGTCTTTTACAATGTTTGCACATAGTTTTTGTCGTCTGTGCTTTTCTTGCCGTTTTCGTTTGTGATTACCAGAACGCTGAAATGCTAGCACACCGCCGATCCACATCCATCCATCCATTTTCTGAAACCGCTTAAGCAGTTTGGTTTCCAAGTAACGAAACCTACAGGTCACAAACCGAACATTATATCTGACTGGATGCCACTTTGCTAGAGGTCTGCGAACTACATCAAACTTCAATCAACTTGAACATTGAGTGGCGTGGCAAAAACCGGGCGGCACTTGAGACCCGCGGCGGCATTGCGCCAGCAGAGAGTGGCGCCACTCTTCTGATTTACATTAAACAGCGCAAAAATTTTCCCGCTTGCTGTGTGGACGGTGCCTAACTCAGACCTCCCTCTTGCCAACCACCTCCTATAGATTCTCTAGGGACCACCCAGGCGTTTCCAGGCCACCTGAAGGGTATAATCTCTCCAGCGTGCACTGGGTTTGGACCTGGGTCTTGTCCTGGTTGGATATGTCTAGAGCACATCCCCCAGAGAGTTGTCCAGGAAACGTCCTACACAGATTCCTGAACCATCTCAGCTGGCTCCTTGCGAGGTGGAGCAGCAGTGACTTTGTAATTTCATTCTTTAATTCACTACCCCGATTTTGTGACCATAGGTGAAGGCAGGAAGGTATTTCAGTCAGTCAATCAAAAGATTCACTTTCCGACTCAGCTCTCTCGTTATCACGACAATACAGTGTCCACATAACCGTGATGTTGCACAGATCATCTGTCAATCTTCCACTCCATTTTTCCTTCACTTGTGAACAAGATACTTAACCGAATGAGGGGGAAGGGATGCAGGGTGTAACAGTTATATGTATTTGGGTTAAGAAAAGTAAAAACAAAAATGCGATGTTAAAATACAGCGTCTCACACAAAATTCACATCCAGCATTTATTTTGCTCTCTTTGCATAAAATGAAGAATGCTGACAAAATATAATCAGTGCTAATTACCCGCTGTTTGTTTCTCCTTGAACTTCAGACCATCGAGATGTCAGGCTGGTGCAAGGTCCACATCAGTGCTCTGGGAGAGTAGAGGTGCAGCAGGGAGTAACCTGGGGCACCGTGTGTGATGCTGACTTTGACCTACATGATGCAGAGGTTGTGTGTCAGCAGCTGGACTGCGGCATCGCTGTGGAGGTTTTGGGGGGCGCTGCTTTTGGAAAGGGGGACAGCAGCCAGGTGTGGAGAGAGGAGATTCAATGTGTAGGGAATGAATCTCAGTTTTACTTGTGCCCAAAATCACTCTCAAAGACACAGAACTGTTCCCATGGTAATGATGTGGGACTGGTGTGTTCAGGTAAGAACAGTCTGACAATGTGAAAAAAAGTGAAAAATTAATGAAGAAAATATATATCATAAATACATGGTAATGTTTTACATTAACTGCACATTAATATAACATTGAGTGCACCTGCATAATGCATTTATAGTGCATTCATAGAGCATTCTTAAGCAGAAAATTCAATGAACAGTTGTAATATACACTAATAACAGACATTATAATTGTATATTAAAGATGTTAAAGTATTTAGTATGGTGAGGTATACTTCCAAACTTCTTATAAATGTCCTATGAATGCATTATGAAGGTTCACTAAATGTTTTTGAATGCATTATAAAGGTATTAAAATGCATTATAAAGGTATTAAAATGCATTATAAAGGTGCAGTTAATGTGAAGGGTTACTAAGGACACTCAGTGAATTTAAAAATGTGAACTATAAATATCTTAAAATTATTAAGTTACAGTGCTAACAGCCCCCCCACCCCCCATCTTGTTCACAGGGTACACAGACTCCAGGCTGTTAGGTGGCCCTGATTCCTGCTCTGGGACAGTGGAACTGCAGTACCTCAGTGAGTGGGGGACAGTGTGTGATGCATTCTGGGATATGAGAGCAGCCAGTGTCCTCTGTCGGCAGCTGCAGTGTGGGAGCGCTTTGGCAGTGCCAGGACAGGCCTGGTTTGGAGAGGGGAGGGGCCACATCTGGGCTGATGTTTTTGAGTGCCAGGGGAATGAGACACACCTATCCCAATGTGCTGTGTCCTCATGGAGTCGAGCTGCATGCTCTCATGGACGGGATGCGGGACTCCTCTGTGATGGTAAGGACTGATGTGGACAAACGACGAGTACTAAATAATGTTGATTTAAATATTAAATATTCTGTTTTTGACTTATTTATTTTTAAATATAGATTTATTTTTGTTCTACTTTCATTATTGAGTTTTTGGGAGTTTTTATACTGTAACACTGAGTTTATTTGTGCAATTTCTGTCCATTGAACATTTATAGCTACATGATATGTACAGAGATTTAACAATATAGTATATGATTGTATGAGGCAGAAATTAAGCAAACAACTGTTTAAACCTGCTAAATGCTGTATTGATGCGTGTATCTGATTACTGCTGACAGTGAATGATGCATTTGCAGGGTCTAAACCTCTCTCAGCTCTCAATGGGACAGTGCGACTGTCAGGAGAGAGTGACTGTGAGGGTCACCTGGAGGTTTACTACCAGCTGGCCTGGAGCAGAGTTCTCATGGACTCCTGGAGCTTCAAGGAGGCCTCTGTGGTCTGCAGGCAGCTGGGCTGTGGCTCCGCAGTGAAGCTGTACAGTTCCTCCCTGTCTGGGACCCCGGGAAATGATGTGTGTCTGACAGGGTACCAGTGCTCAGGGAATGAGTCTCACCTAGTGAACTGCAGTGATCCACACAGACTTAATTGCAGCTCTAGTCCTCAAGCGTTCATTGTGTGTTCCAGTGAGTACATCATAGTTATAATATTTTATAGAGAAAATTATTTAAAAGTTCTTCTATAAAGAAATGTGTACTTTATTAAATGTATGTAACGCCTCCCTCTCTATCTCCTTCCAGAGCACCAGTCCATCCGGCTGGTGGGTGACGCTGGGGGCTGTGCAGGGAGGCTGGAGGTGCTCCACCAGGGCTCCTGGGGGACAGTGTGTGGAGACTCCTGGGACCTGAAGGATGCTCAGGTGGTGTGCAGACAGCTCCAGTGTGGGACGGCTCTCAGTGACCCAGTGCCCACCTTCTTTGGACCAGGAACTGGACCCATCTGGCTGGATGAGGTGGACTGTGAGGGGAATGAGACGTCTCTGTGGGACTGTCCTTCAGCACCATGGGGACAGAATGATTGTTTGCATAAAGAGGATGTAGGCATTGTGTGTTCAGGTGTGAAAATTCTTCATCTAAAAAAAAAAGAAAGTAAAAAAAATCTATTATGAAACCTAAAGACCTGGTTGCTGTCATATATTGCAAAATGTTGATCTTTACAGTTTAGTTGAAGTACTTTAGGCTTTCGAAAATTCTTATTTATGCAATATTTATGCAAGTCCAGTCGACTGCATAAGTTCACAGATTCAGCACTGTTGTGTGCAGTTAACCAGTGGGGTGAGCTTATCCAAAATAATAGGGTTGTACAGCATAATCAGCAAATCATAGCTGTGTTTCTCATTTCTGTATGTTCCATTGTATAAAATAGTCAGTATTCAACGGAACAAAAAACTTCTCTGGGGCTTGGCAAAATAAATTCCAAAAAAACTTTACATAATAAACCTTCAGCGTTCCAGTGTAACAGTAACATTGATTTGTCAACTCTCAAACATGCATGACTTGGATATAATAATATATAATTTGTGAATGTGTCACAATAATGCAAGTCTATAACTTTGCAACAGGCTTCTTGAACTGAAGGGAAATGTAATACCCTACGTAGTAGGGGTGTAATGGTACACAAAATTTGGCGCTTGCAATTTTGGTATTGCAGGGAATTTTTTTATTTTATTTTTTACACAGTTATTTATTGCAGACAGAAACACAATTAGGATCAATTGTTAACCAAAAGCAATGTGTCTATCAATGTATCTGAATAATAAAACCCAAGAGACGCTTTATTGCACATTGGAAGAATAAATATATAAATGAAAATTGAAATATAAGACTCATCATAACAAGATAACAATCATAATGAAGTACATCCCATCTAAATCCTGTGTTCCCTACTGCCAAGTATGATCAGGGGTGAGGGGTCGGGAACCTGTGGCTCGAGAGCCATGTGCGGCTCTTTGAGCACGAGGCTGCGGCTCTTCTCAGAACGATAGACGCATCCCCATTTTCATGTCTTAACATATTATGATAATACTTTCGTAAATATAATTTTTTTTATGGGTTAATATTATTATTTTTCATTTAGATATTTGTTTAGCTATATGTGAATGAGGCAGTCCATCGCACGCTTCTGTCTTAACTGCATAATTTACATCTTCCTCAAAGTCATTCTCTATGACGAGAGTACGTCTCTGGTCAAATGGTACGGTTTCCGGAGTTTTCTTTAGTTCCTAAGATTAGATGTAGGCTTCAAAGTTTATTGGGATTCCTAATTCTTCCATATACTTTTTATAGTAAATCGTCATCACGCCTTCCCAGGTCTTCGTAAAATTATAATTTTCTCCAATTTACAAACATAAATATAAAACTTAGTTCGGAGTGGTGAGTACATTTGGCACTGCTCGGTCAGCAGAGTTAAAAGTAGTGGAGTGGAGAGTGACAGCCAAAAGACTGCAGAGCAAAACAAACTTTACCCAAGGAAGAAGGGGTGAGGACGAAGACTGTCGCCACAGAACTGAACGATGTTGTGATTTTACTCACCTTTGCGCTGTTACTCTTGCAAGTGATTTAAAACTGAGATGCCCCCCAAAATTGTTTTTCTTTATTTTTTGAAAGTACTTGAAGTTTAGTTTTTCTCCAACTGCTGTTTATGACTGAGAGTAACCAGCAATACAACAGTCATAAGAAACTCATAGCCTCAATTATCAGGGATACCCTGTTGAATGTCTACTTGTAAATTTAGATTCTGCCTGTGTCAAGCAATGTATTAATTCATTTCACTGTGTGTACTGAATCAAAAATGATGTGACCTAATGGCATACAATGAATTTGTGTATCGTTACAGCCCTTCTATGTGGCCTATGCTGTATCTTTATTACAAAATACGGTAGCTTTTGAGGGCAGCATACAAATCAAAACAAATTCTTATCAAAATAAAAGCCCATGGTGTTATCTGAAATGTTTTACTTTGTAATATTAAGATTGGGCTCATGAGACATATTGCATCCGGGGCGTGTTGCCATAGAAAACCATTCATTTGAAACAGGACCAGCTACATGCTCTACAGTAAAGCATGGATTTGACTGTAATTTAATGTTTCAAAGAATTTTCTCTGTGTATAAATAACTGTTCAGTTATTTCAAGTTATTCTTTTGAACTCCCTGTAGAACATAAAGAAATCAGGCTGGCTGATGGCTGCTCTGGGCAGTTGGAGGTTTTCTACAACGGCACCTGGGGAAATGTGTGCTTCAATCAAATGGACACATACACAGCCAGTCTGATATGTCAAAATCTCAACTGTGGAAAGAGTGGGACTGTTTCTAACACAAGGTCTCGGCTGAAAGGAGCTCTTGACTGGCTTGATAACCTGCAATGTCGGCCACATGACTCCACACTGTGGCAGTGCCCATCCTCTAACTGGGGAGAGAGTGACTGTGATGATGATGCAGTGGTTCAGATCACCTGTGAAGGTAAGGAAGGATCTTTTAATAGTTCTGTATAGAATAGTTTGCTGAGAGAAGGAGGCACATCGTGCAAAAGTTTGTGGAATTTGGAGTGTGCCAATTTTTGATACCTGATCAGATACCTCTCCAAGCTGACTATTCAGGAGATATGATTTAGGACACATGGGGCCTACTGAACTTTACACTCAGAATCCTGTAAGGCTGAGTGGATTTTTTCCCTAAAAACTTCATCACACAACCAGAAAGTCTGAGGAATAGTAAGCTTTTATATTTGATATTTGAAACATGAAACTAGACCTGTGTTAAACAGACTCTGTCAGTGAGCTTTAAGTTTATGCATACCAATGGTAGTACACTTTTAGAGTATGTATTTCTCCAAAAGGAGCACCAATCATTCATCAAACGCACATTCCAAATCCCATTTCCCTAAGGTCTTTTAAATTATTTAAAGATAACATAAAAATTATTAGACAAAGTTGCATAGGTTTTGAGTTCATTTATTTAGTCAAAAGCTATTCAGCTCATTCCAAATTAGACCACTGCAAGAAGCTAGTATTAATTAATTGAGAGGGGAAATCAGGATTGAGAGCCACTGAACAAAGACAGGCAGGTATCTTAAGGTAAGATTTAACATCTTTCCAGGTTAAAAGTGTATTATGAGCCACAAATGCATTATAGATGAGAGCTTCACAGAAAGTGTTAACAATATTTATAACGGATCTGGATTTTTATTACATTCATACAGGTTAATCAGTGTGCATTAATTATCATTCAATGGTTAAACCCACCAAACTCTCACCCACATCATTAAATTATTATTGAGAAACTGTTTTGTGTTGCAAGAGACATGCACAGTCCCTCCTTCAAAATATATATAGTACTTTCAGTAACTTTCATTTCAAAATGAACATTTCAGTAATTTTGACTAGGAGCAAATGTGGAAAACTGACTGAAATAGTCCCAGCTGGTTCCAGATGATGGTCTCCATAGAGTCCAGGTGAGGGTTCAAGTGGTGAATTGTCAGCTCGGTGTTCAGCTCGGAAAAAAGAAGAAAGAGAAGAGAGTTAGTGCCCTACACCTAACCTCCGGCAGTACTAAAGTAACTATGGCAGCCTGGCTGAAAGGGAGACTTGGTAGGAAGTACAGACATGAGGGTTTGCAGGGGTCTTGGCGTCAAGTCAAAACTACCATCAACAGCTTAAGTGATTGGCGAGAGTGACAGGAGGGCATTTGGGAGGGCATTCCTCAGAATTTTCCCATAATGTATAAAAATTATACAGTGGTTTGTGAACATAATTAGTTCCGGAAACATGCTTGTAATTCAAAGCACTGGTATATCAAAACAAATTTTCCCATTAGAAATAATGGAAACTCAGATGATTCATTCCACAACCCAAAAATATTCATATGAAAATAATTAATACAAAATATAAAGTAAAATACATAAAACCAATTATCCGGGATCCGGGGCAGGCAGGGCAGGCGTGAGAAACGAAAGACAAAAGAATGTTCGGTTCGGTAAGGCTTATTAAGGATAATGGCAACAATACTTTGCGCCACTGTTCCTGACTCAATCGCTTTTATGTGGCGGTGATATCCACGTGAAGTGGCTTCAGCTGTTGCTCCGCCTAGGTGGGCGTGGCCACCTGTCCGGGTGAGACAACAGGCTGCACATTAGCCAATGTGTGTGAAAGAGGTGACTGAGCATTGAGGTGAGAGAAGGTGTCAATCAAAAAAATAAAAATTATCTCTTGTGCACATATCTGCATGCCATTGATTATGCTGCCACTTGCCTACAATGGCACTTGTGCCTTCAGCTCCAAACCTCAGAGTTAAGCCCTTTTTTAAAATATTTTTCAGAAATCAACAACATTGCCACAAATGAATTGTATTGCTTAAAATCTAGAGTAAAACAGTGTTTTAACATGAACCATCTCCTTTTATCTTTCTTGTGCTTAAGGAAACAAGGCATTGAGGGGAAAAGCAACCCAGTCATCTCAGTTTGATTATTTCAGTAGTGCTAACAATGCTATCGATGGAAACAATGATGCAAACTTTGTCACTGGATCCTGCACACACACTAAATGGGAATCTGAACCCTGGTGGCGATTGGACCTACAGGAAATACACAATGTGACTGAGGTGACTGTCACCAACAGACAGGACTGCTGTTCAGAGAGGATCAATGGAGCTGAGATACGCATTGGAAACTCCCTACAAGACAACGGCAACAGGAACCCAAGGTACATTTTGACATCTTTGTTTACTAAAGTGTTATTTGAAGAGATAGGAACAGAGTCTGGTCTTGATAAGTGTAATGGTTTCACTAGATGACAACTGGTTATCAATCCATTTCTGAGCTAGTTAAGAACCATTACTGGTGCGAAATACTTGTACTTGGGGAAAACAGAAGCTTGCTGTTGAACGAGCAGTGTCTGGGAACGGGTACTTAATTATGCTTGTGTGTTTTTATAAATTTTGGGTCTACAGTTTGCAAAATATACATAAAAGTGTAGTCTTTGCTCAAACAAAACACAATCTATGGTTTTTAAGGTGATTTTAAGGTGTTCAAATCTATAAACAAACAAGTACCTTGCACCAGACTCTGTTCCTACCTCTTCAAGGTGGTTTACTATGAAATTAAGAATAAAGTCAGGAGGAAAAGGGCTCTCTTCCACAAATGGAAAATAACTAATGATTTCAAAATAAAGCAGGAGTATCTAAAAAATAACATTAGACTCGCTAAGAGGAATGTAGAAAGGAATATGGCATTGGAGGCTAAGGATGACATTAAAAGTTTCTTCCAATACTTTAACTCCAAAAGAGCTCTAAAAGTTGAAATCACTAATTTGCAAAATAGTACGGGCCTTCTAATTAAAAATGTAATTGATATAGTAAATGAGTTTAATGATTATTTTACACGGGTGTTCGCACGAATAACCTACTACCATTTAGAACAAATATAGAGTAGTCTATGACCAATATATGTACAACTGTGGCTGATGTCGGACAAAGCCTAGCTAAGCTCAAAATAAATAAATTGCAGGGCCCTGATGGCATCTTGCCTATAGACTTAAAAGAGATGAGGGATATTATTAGCCAACCTTTAAAATTAGAATTAGAATTAGAAGCTTTATTTGTCATTGCATAAAATACGTAGTATTAAACACAACGAAATTTAGAGTTGCCACTCTTAGTCAGTGTTTTAAAACTAATATAGTTAAGAATTAACAAATTAACTTTACTACTTCAAAAATCCTTATCTGCTGGTGTGGTACCTTCTGATTGGAAGCATGCTAATATAACACCCATATTCAAAAAAAGGGAATAGAAGTAATCCAGAAAACTATAGGCCAATCAGTTTAACTTGCATAACTGGAAAAGTAATGGAAGCTATAATCCAAGTGAAAATGGTAGATTACCTGGATTCAAATAACATTCTGAGCTATAGCCAACATGGATTTAGGAGAGGTAGGTCCTGTTTAACTAATCTACTTGAGTTCTTTGAGAGTACTGGTTACAAGAGATCTGATTAAATTAAGGCCTACAATGTGATCTACTTAAATTTCCAGAAGACCTTTGATGTTGTCCCCCACAAACAGCTCTTGCTTAAGCTCAAAGCTGCAGTGATTTTAGAAATGTAGCAGCTTGGATCGAAAACTGGATAACAGACAGGAAACAGCAGGTAGTTATTAGTGGCACAATGTCACAGTGGGCCTGCGTTCATAGTGGGGTACCACAGGGTTCTATTTTAGGACCACAATTGTTCCTAATTTACATTAATGATATTGACACCAATACATACAGTAAACTGGTTAAATTTGCAGACACCAAGCTGGGTGTGTAGCAGATACTGAACTAGCAGCACAGAGGCTACAATGGGATTTTGATTTAATTAGCGACTGGGCTGATACCTGGCAAATGAAATTTAACATAGATAAATGTAAGGTAATCCATGCAGGGAGCAGAAATATAAAGTACAGATATTTTACGGGTTCCACTGAAATAAAGGTAGCTGATTATGAGAAAGACCTCGGTGTGTATGTTGATGCTTCCATGTTGATCAGACGATTCAGGTCTTCTGCCAGCTGATCCCTCCTTGCCTGTGCTGCTACCAGCATACATTCCTCTGTTGGCATCGGGTTCTCTAATGTGTCCTCATTTATGTCAAATAGACATCCATCACGCATGGCAGTGTTACGCAACATTCAGCATGCCACAAAGAATGCTGGGACTTTCTGAGGGCTGTACTGTTCCACCTCATGTCTCTAATCATCTGTAATGCATTTTCAGCAGTCCAAATTTCAGTATGTGGTTAATCCTGATAATATTTTTAATTATATGGTTTATTCTCTATTTTATATATATATATATATATATAAACACACACACACTAAGCAGTATGATTGCGTGAAAGGACCAGATATACTATATAATAACATATAGAAATGAAATAATGAAATAAAATGAAATAACAAAAAAACATTAGTGCACTTCGAGTGCGTACCTGTGTCCGTAACGAATGTTGTGCACTCGCACGTCTCTAAAATGCGCACCTTAAATATCATTTAATAATGCGCCACTGACTTTAGACGTGGTTCTTGTTGGTGAAAAGCGCAATGCTATTTTGCTGCCTTAAAATAGCAACATGCTGACAGTGCAGCTGGCCGGGCGCAAAATATAGAATATAACAGAATATAATATAGCACTTGACTGAGGTTAACATCTTACAGACTAGCTTAGATTAGAAAAATGTACTTTAGTTTCTCTACTCTCTCTTTATAGGTGTGCGGTGATTGACTTCATCCCTGCAGGAAAATCCCGAACGTTCCACTGCCAGGGAATGCTGGGACGCTACCTCAATGTGCTCCTCCCAGCCTCTAACAGCCTGACTCTGTGTGAAGTTGAAGTGCATATAAGTCGTCTTGTTGGTTGGTATAAAATAAAACGAAATAGCTCAAAATCTGCTTACATAAATCTGTTTCAGTTCTTGTTCAGTTCTTGAAGCTGAGCTGGTCAGATGGGCGTTGATTAATTTTCTATAACCGCACATGTAGTGCCAGCCAGAAAAAGTACAGTAGTAAATCAATGTGTGTTTATAATCTTTAATTTTAATTAACGTTCTTTAAAATTTCAGATGTTGAACAAGATTTTAAATAAACAGAAGCTATAAAAACAAAGAAATTGATAAAAATCACTCTGGCTAAGAACCAAGACCTGATTAACTATCAAAATGATTTACTGATGTAATGCACTTGTAATCCAGTCATACATGTTCTGCAGAAGGGCGCTATAACGTAATGTAATATATATGAAATAATATGATAGTGTTACATTATTTTTGAGTTTGAACATGCTGTGTGATTCTATATTTATCATGCATATATAATTTATTATTGCAATTGTTGTTATTAAATTCATTAATTAAAATTAGATATGCCATAAATAATACATTATTTCCAACTATCTTTTGTATCTTTTGTAATGTTTTCAAGGGCATGACTGCCATCTAATCATGATTTTAAAATCATACGTTTTTTGATCTCTAACATGAGGACCCAATGCAACTGTCCCAGCTACCTTCTATATTGGTAACAGACAAATCATGACCAATTTTTACAATATAAAAAACTGAAAACAACACATAATGAGGGGATTAGAGAAGGATACATCATGTATTATATTATGCGTCATACGTATTCATCAAATTTGTTTTGTTTTTTTTTTAGCATATTTGCAAGAATAACTGACACAGCATTAAAAGCTTCACGGCATTCAATGAGCCTATGCACATTTTATCATTATTGGCTCGGTAATCATTAAGAAACTAAGGGATGGATTTGATTTCATATTACCTAATTCTTATGTCATTGTTGCGCATATTGGAACTTATTTGTCTTATTTGTCTAAAACAGGGGTCTCCAACTCCGGTTCTGGAGAGCTACTATCCAGTAGGTTTTCTATCCTACCTGGCTTCTAATGAGCCACACCTGGCCCTGGTATTTACCTGAGAACAGGTGTGGCTCATCAGAAGCCAGGTAGGATTGAAAACCGACTGGATAGTAGCTCTCCAGGACCGGAGTTGGAGACCCCTGGTCTAAAACATTCCTGTAACAGTTTCTTAATATTTTCAGCGTTCAATTTTGTAGCATGCAAAATTGTCGGTAACACTTTACTTAAGGTCATGTTTTTTTAATTTATAAACACATTCATAAGAAATAGTAATGCACTCATAAAGCATTATAAACAGGGCTATTAATATTTATCAAAAGGCATAACACATTATAGCCATGTGTATTATGCATTATGAATGCTTTATGAAACTCATCTATAATGTACCATAGATACTTTTATAATGCATTATAATGGTCAGTATAAGCATTAAGGATGCTTTGAACTGCATTATAAAGCTATCTATAGTGCATTATAGATGAGAGCCTTATAAGGCAGTCATAATGCATAATAAACATGGCTATAATGTGTTATTCCTTCTGATAAATATTTATAGGCATGTTTATAATGCTTTATTTATGCTTTACATATTATAAGGCATTATGAATGTGTTTATAAATTACAAAATACATGACCTTAAGTTAAGTGTTACCAAATTGTCTTTTACCACATAGAATGAACTTTTCTAGAAATGTTCTAGAAAACAGCAGGGAGCATCTTTGGAGAGAAAACAGCATACGTGGTATTGCATGGAAAAGGAGTGAAAACCTTTGTGTCTGTCTTTCCTGTACAGAAGATAACGTGGCTTTGAAGGGAAGGGCTTCTCAGTCATCCCAATATGACAGGTTAGGAGATGCTGGCAAAGCTATTGACGGAGGCAGCAGTGCAGACTATGGTGATGGATCCTGCACACAGACAAGGCTCGAGTCCAAACCCTGGTGGAGGCTGGATCTGCAGGAAACACACACAGTGAGTGAAGTGATCATCACCAACAGAGGGGACTGCTGTTCAGGGTGGATCAGCGGAGCTGAGATTCGCATTGGAAACTCACTGGAAGACAACGGCAACCAGAACCCACGGTACATTTTGTGTCCATCTCCCTGCTACTGTTTTATGAAATGTTCCTTGATAATTTACCATACTAAGTCCTGATCTTCTTGGTACAGATGTGCTGTGATCACCTTCATTCCAGAAGGTCAGCCACGCACTTTTCTCTGCTATGGGATGCTGGGACGCTACATCAACATACTCCTCCCCACCAATGGCATCCTGACTCTGTGTGAAGTTGAAGTGTATGCAAGCCGTCCTGCTGGTTAGTATGAAGAAGCATGAGGATACACTGCCCCAGTACTTTGTTAATTATGTCACTGATACACATGTCAATCCATGCATTAATAAAAGAGCTAATAAGGAACATTTCTTCACTCTTTTTTCCTCTATGACGTGTTGTGATATTTCATGATCATAATCTAGAAATTCATTTGAGTACCTTAGTTATCTGCAATTTCAGAGCTCAGCATTAGATAAAACATTTATCTGTGCAGTTCGTTCATTCTTACATGTCCCTTGACTGCTGCAGTGCTGGAAAATCACAGTCTTCACTTCCCCCCCAGGCCAAATGCCCCTGAGACTGCAGGGAAACAACTCTGAGTGTTCAGGAAGGGTGGAGCTGTGGTACAGGGGATTCTGGAGATCAGTCTGCGATGATTCCTGGGACCTGAGAGACGCCCAGGTGGTCTGCAGACAGATGGGCTGTGGGACAGCACTGGAGGCTCATGGGAACTCTACCTTTGGGGAAGGCACCATTTGGCTGAATGAGGTGAACTGCACGGGTGATGAGCTCCACCTGTGGGACTGTCCTTACAGTCTCCAGAGCCAGAGGAGCTGCACTCACAAGACGAATGCTGGTGTTACCTGTACAGCTGCACCTGCTACTGGTAACTTTGATAGCATATTTTAATTTAGTTTTAGTCTTAGTCTTCTGATGAAAATGCAATTTAGTTTTAGTCATATTTTAGTCGTCTGATTTTTATTTTTAGTTTTTAGTCGACAAGAATTACAGGATATTCAGTCAACTAAATTTGCTTTAGATTTAGTTGACTAAATCTACAATACATAGAGCTGATGAAAAGAATAGGCTTAGTCATAGTCCAATACATCATTTTCAAATTTGTTTGGAAATTTTTTGTGTGTATACATACAATGTATGTATAATGTCAAATTTGTTTCTAGTAATTTTGCTGTTATTCCACATGACATTCTGATTCTTGTTTCATTTTTCATCAAATGTGAAATTTAGCCATATGTCAAAATGTATTCCTCTACCTAAAGCTGACTATGGCATACACTAACCTTAAACAGTATACAATTTTTCATACTTTCATCCTGTCTGGAGATTACACAGCATTATACAGTATTTTGTCCGTATTTTCAAAAGCAAATCCGATACTTTGATATCCAGCACAAGAATAAAATTCCCAAGAATAAAATTCACCCTAGCCAAGCAAAGATATAAAGGTTAACAGACAGACATTAGAGACAGAACTGCATGGTTTATGCATATGTAGCCAGTTAGATCAATATTATCCAGACATGGGCCACTACATTCAACAATAACTAAAGATACTACTTCTGATTTGATCTGTTCCAAACTCGTTTCTTCATGATGTTTTTCTCAGTATATTTCATCATAGTTTTTGGCATCATAAATTAATTTTTATTTTATCATCATCTCTTTTTCATCAATTAAAAATCTTCGTTGATGAATAAGTTCCATCATAGTTTTCATCAAGGAAATTAACGCTGTGTGTAACCTCAACATTTTATTACTGAGTTGCAAATTGGGCCCTTCAGCACAGATACATTTATTTTTTACACAGAATGTTTATTGTTAAAAATCTATGTTCCTGTTTGCAGATGCACCTTTGTTACAACTGGAGGAGACAACTACAAGCACCACAGGTGAAGTTGTTATATAGTGATTTACTTTGTGATACTTATAAAACCACAGATAGAAGAACCAGATATGGTTGATTGTATTTGTTTATATCTTTCAAAAACTGTAAAACCATCCTGGTAACTCCTTACTTGATGGGAAACCCTACACAATGACATTTAGTGAACATTTTCAGAGTACTGGGTATGCTTTTTTAATTGTGTTTTTGCTGGCATGGTTGTTAAAGTATATAAGTTGAACAAATCATTTGGGGTTCTTTCAGATTCATTTGGGGCTGAAGGCTCATGATGCGTCAAATTTAATGCCAGCACTTTACTTGATGGAGCACAAATAATGGAATATTATGTGTTAAGTAACCACAAACGTAGTCTTGGTTACATATTGATTTAATTTTATTACCTCATTAATGAACCATATTTTCTGAAGCAGTTGCTATATCTGTTACTATTTCTGTTAATTCTGTAAACCTTTGTGAAGTACTGAAGGAACGCCGAAGACATAAACAACACAAGTTAAATACTGATCTAATGTTTGTTCTTCAATAATGAATCATAATGTACCTTTTATCTCGATTATATTTGTTCATGATTTCTTTATGATTTGTTCTTCAGTAGTAAATGAGTTATTACCAAGTATTTGTACCCCATCAAGTAAAGTGTTACCACCATCCCCAACATTTCTGGAAAAAAATGGTTAGAATTGGTAATGTTTTGCATAGCTTCATTGTGATTTCTGAGTATGTGTTCTGTATCAGAACTATGCCCATCTATCTCCTGAAGTCTGTCCATCTCTTTTCATTTGTAGTCAGAAGGCCTCCCCTGTCAAGCCAGTCTGTACCCCCTGTGGTTCTGCTAATCCTGGGCCCTCTTCTCTTGCTCCTGCTGGTATTACTGGCTGTCCAGATGAACCAGAACAAAGAGCTCAAGAGAGGTGTGGAAGGATGGAGCAGGAGCAGCATTTAATGATATCTGCATGACATACAGTCATTTTGCTAATGAACATACCAATATAATAGGGCTGTAACGGTACACATATTTGTAATGTACCAATCAGTGCATCATTTTAGGTTAGGTAAGCGTAGCCCACTGAACGCTCTGATGTTATTTTTTTTATTTGTAAAAATTAATTTTGCATATTTATTTCTACAATATGCAAATATTGCATTTGCCATAATTCAGACACACGACGAGACACAATGCCTTTTTTACAACTGCTCCGAGTTGTGCTTGTGTTTGCAATTTTAATAATAAATAATTTAAAAAACATTTTCCCTGCTGTACTGAAATTATACCAAACTGTGCACCCAAAATCAAGGTTTGTATTGAACTGTTAGTTTTGTGTACGGTTACAGCCCTAAAACATTGTTTAGTTGTCTCTTGAATGCTGATATATTAAATGCTCTTTATCAAAGTACATTACATAAGGTTTAGAGACCCTCCTGCCTCTTAGAGCTAACCACTAGTGTTCCTGTGTCCATTCCTACAGCTCTGTACCAGGTGGGGCCCTCTCTTACACATGATGCAATTTATGAGGAGATCTATAAAGGTAAACTGATCAAGGCAGAAACCTACAGAACCCTGTGGAAAGAGGAGTTAATTTGATTGTTCTCAAAACAGACATATACAGAAGTTATGTTATTAAATAATCGTATCTAATAGTTGTTGTATGGGGAGTGACTGGAAGTTGTGATAATCTGCTACATAGTTATGTTTCCCATCCTTAAAAATGAATTTATACCGTTATATGAAACTATATTAAACAGTTAAAAATACTAAAAGTGTGGCATAGTGCCATTTAACTGTAAGCTGTACTCTTGTAAATGTCACATCTACTGTAATGGCAATTTATTGACTTTGATGGTCCATCAGATTTTGATATATTTTGTCTCCTGTGACATGTTTACTCTCTGCTTAGATTTATCTATTTACCTTTATCTAACCCTAATTGCTTAGGTCTGAATTTTAACCTCTGATATTAACAGTGAAGGGGTTGCTACTGCTTCTCATGACTAGCTGAGCAGATACCTACAGTTCTCAGTTTTTACTTCAGCAGGTCTTCATTCTGCCTTGATGAAGTCACCTATTTTAAAGATAAAGATCTGTCAGATATGATACTGGCCTGCTATTTCAAAATATGCGGTCAGAGCGCAGAAACCACAGAGGGCTTCATATCTACAGATCTACAAGTTCCTCAGAATAAAACACACGTGAATCAGCAAGAGGATGTTGATGATAGGAGTGTTAACTTGGTATTCTAACCCCACACGCATCCTGTCTTCTGTCACTGTAAAAGGCAGCAGTTACGCACATAATGATTTTCTCTGTTCTTCATAGGAAGTGTCCACTCTGAGGAGCAGCCTTTTGGGTATGAAGATGTGGAGGATAGTGAAGAAGACCTTCTTTCAGGTAGGGGCTGAGACCTGTGCATTTCAGGGGTAGTACTGTGGCTACAGTAGAATTCTTTGTGTGCTATAAGAATTATATGAAGTAAAAGGATTAACTAGCCCTTAATTTCAATAGGAGGATTCTAACATTTAAGTAACGATTATGTTTTACTTCAGAAGGATCAGATGGGAATGATAAGTTAGAATTTTATGCCAATGCTATCCCTGTGGAGAATACTGACAATCTGTCAAGTAGGTCTCTACCATGTACCAGAGATTCTTTCAGTTTATTGTATTTTCTCAGTACTGTTAATCTCTATTGTTAAATGGACTGTATCTCCATTGATTTTCCATACTAAATTATACAGGTACAATAATGAGAGCCTGTGAGTCTTGATGCATATTACATATGTAGATCTCATATTTCTCTACCATCTGCACACAATCTGGTATAACATTATGATGATGTATTCACTGTGGGCCAGAAGCCGAGGAATTTCTTTGATAAATACTAGTCATACTGTTATAATAATCATTTAAAATCATGTGCTGCAACCACAGACAGTATTTTTGGCCAGTTATTTAAGAGATTATGAAAGGTAGTATACTTAGTGGTTTAAATGCAGCCACTTTCTAGGGCAGTCATGTGGCCTAAAACTGATTACGTATTTAATTTCTTTTTTGTCCAGGTTCAGGGCTGACAGGAATGAGGGACACACCAGAGGTCTATGATGATGTTGTTGGTACAGAGCAGGTTGCACATGTTTTACCAGGTGAGTTTCTTTTTGCATACTAATAAAATGACCTGTACGTTTGTCACTAACCACTGTCCCTTGTCCTGTCCCTGAAGGTGAAAGAGCTTTGAGCACACTGCCTCCTGGGGACAACCCCCCTGAAGCCACTGAGACTGACTATGATGATGTGGGGGAGGAGCCTCTGAAATCGAGGAAGCATCTTTGTGTATGACTTCCCTTTCAGAAGAAACACTTCTGTAAAGGTTCACATAAAGAGCTATTTTTCTAAATTGGCTCAATATACTATGGAATATTATATGACGCTGTATAACACTTAGTGAATGTAATCCTTTGGGCGAATACTGCAAATATGTAACCTGCAAAACATATTGTAACCTTGTAACCTTCAGAGAATGTAGACCAATTACTGCTGCATGATGTAACCAAAATAAGTATGTATCTGCACCTTATGCTAGCTTTGACGTTTCTGCATCTTATTTTAACCCTGGTTGTATGCACCTTAATTAGTGCTGCAGCTTATCACCATGTTGAAGGTCAAACACATTATCAAATCTCTAGATAAGCAATGTGTAGCCAGCTGAAGTTACCAAGATTTGCTGGAGACAAGGCTATCGCATGAGTTAGGCAAAAATTCACTGTTGAGCATGTAAAAAATTTAGTACAAATGGTCGCACCATAATTATGTTCAGCTGAGGGACCAAACAGTAAAAGAAATGACGGACAACCTTATCACATAGAGGTGTGGATCAAGGGAGAAAACAATGATGGTGAATGGTTGAGGGAAAGACCGTATGTATATTAACACCACCAGCCGGAAGTGACGACATGCGCGTTCCCGTTTCTCGGAGATCCTAGAAACGGGAACGCGCATGTCGTCACTTCCGGCTTCAAAACTCCGGAATGTGAGTTCTAAGGGCAAATGGAATGCACCAAAATTGCCCGAAATAGGTTGACAGAGACATTTCAGGGTTTTTGAGTCATTCTGCGCTGCAGATGGGTTAATTGCGTTAAAAAATTTAAATCAGATTAATCATGATGATGGATTAATCCGCGTTAACCCGTTAATTTTGACAGCCCTAATTAATATGTAATGTTATTATACATAATTATAATGTGTGATGTGATTTGGTCAATTCCAGACAAAAATTCATCAGTACATTATGCAATATACAGTATCCACCTTTAAATGGTTAATGACGTGATTTATCATAAAATTAGCATTACATTATCTCATAGTAGAAAAAAAGAGAATTTCAAGAACAGTTTATGCAAAAATATTTATTCATAGTTGGAGATAAACCGAAAACATGAATTCCATGCACACAGACAAATATAAATACATCTGTATATTACCCAAGGAAATGAATATAGCATACATATATCCGACAAAAACAAGAAAAAAAAATAGACAAAATAAAATATCAGCTGATGTGAACAATCTGACATCAGGAGTTTCATCTCCTCTTCAGGTCAGTTCTTCAGTGTCAGACTGGAGGTTGGTGCTGTGATTGATGGTCTCAGCTGTTCTTGTGGATGCTGTTGTCAGTCAGTGGTCTTCCTGTTGTCCAGCTTGCTGACATGGGTACTGACCCAGGCCTCCTCTGGATTTACACAGAAAGACCAATTTCTCTTGATAACAAACCTGCAGACAATCAGAAATAAAATTTACATAATCTTGAGGAAATTAACAATGTAGGGGAGACCGGGGCTGGTTGTCACAATGCTTATTCCAGACACACTAGATGGTGGTGTGGTACAGTTTTGATATCAAACTGTTAGCCTTTGATCGGTTACTCATTTGCATTTGCAATTTTGCTGAGCAGACACAAAACATTGAGCTGAGGAGACAACTTTTAATTTTCATGGATCAGAGTAAATTTTCATGTTGGTGTTGTTTTTGTATTAAGAACTTGTAGGTTATTAGTCATTCAAAAACAAAACACTCATTAAAAAGCCAAAAGTAGTAGCTTTATTTTGAGTCATCTTTTAGCTATCAAGTGAAAGCCATGTGGCAGCTAGCTTAACATGTTTGTCAAGAAGTCAGTTGGGGATGGTTGTCTCATAGCTCTCGGGGCTGGTTGTGACACAAAGGTGACACATGTGACAACCAACTCCTCAAGTATTAGAATTTGTTTTTTTCAACTGAGGATGTGCAGACAATGATATCTTTTGTGTCTTTGTTGGTAGAATGGTCAGGAACTTCAAGAGACAGACAGACAGGGGCAGAACACCAGCAGACATTATGCTTTTGGCTGTGAGGCAGGTGAAGCTGCAAGGCAAAAGCATACGTAGCACAGCTAAAAAATTTGATATTAACTACAGGACATTGACCCGTTACTGCCAGAAAATGTCAAATAATGACATCCAGGGTGGAGCTACCTCTCCCTCAGTGCCAGTTGGCTACAGTATATAAAAAATCGCCAGATTTTCAATGCTCACCAAGAACGGCAGCTGAGAGATTACATAATAAAGGTTTCCTACTTTAGTTCAGTAGATTCAAGGANACGCAAATGGGGGGCCAACTTCACGCTGATGACGTCACCATGTAAACACACATTTATATCTCAGAAACTAAAACAGCACAAACAAAAATTTTAACGGCACAAACGCGGCACATATGGGGGGCAACATCACGCAGGTACCTTACCAGATTTTTTTGCAAGTATAAGATTACAGAGCAATTGTTTTATTTAACTCACATCACATATCGGTAGACATGGCAATTTCAAGTCATCAAAACAATTTCAAAACAAACAATGTTTCGAAACGGTTCGAAAAGTTTCGAAACACAGCCTGCTAGCAAAAACCGGAACTGCAGCTACTGCATAGCAAACGCGGCAGAATAAAAACCTACTGCTGCAAGTTTCGAATGTCACACAGCTCGAACTGTCAAAAATGTCCATAATACAATATAACTTCTTTTTGATTATTTTTATATTCTGTCATAGGTATCCTATATCTGCAATTAGTGTACGTGTGATAATTTTTTTTCCAACCGTAATTCAACTATAGTACGAATCATACAAACGTTAGATTATTAATGTCTTTTGTGTATGGATGCGAAACCTCTCTTGCACTAATATCAGAAGCAGAGAAGAGGATGTTAGCAATATTATGAACAAGTCTGCACGTCCACTTCAGTGGCCTCTATAATGGAGCATATTTAGCCACCGGCTCCTTCCACCATGCTGTGCTAAAAATGCCACTGGGGATTATCGCTGCCCGAAGCTGTCAGACAACTGGTGACCGACATCACACTTTCTCCAGACGTTACACTCCCCATCCATACCCATAATACGTCAGGAAGCATCCTCTCTTGTTATAATACAATCCGGTGCCTTGTGTTCTAACTGCACATAATTTATTTGCAGATGATTATTATTCTCATTTTTAAATATTCATGTTTAGTCTCACATTCTGCTCCTCAAGATTTTACATCCATTTGTGTACTATGTACTTTTTAAATCTGCTGCAGTATGTTTACTTTGCTGGCACCAAGTGTACAACCTTCTTCGCTCGCTTTGAAGTGCAAAATAGCACCAGTGCTCAGAAGACCCCTCCCTCTCCTGATGACCAGGTGATGACTCTGTCCCCAGACAGTGTGAGGAGATCCCTCAGCAGGATCAACGCACGCAAAGCTCCGGGTCCTGACAACATTCCTGGTCGCGTACTGAGAGACTGTGCAGTGGAACTCACTGATGTCTTTAC